ATGCAACTTCCGCCCCCGAATCTGTCGACTTCCTGTCGACTTCACGACGTCGTCTCCAGACTCTGTGCCTGCCGTCCGCGAATCTGAGGGTAAACCTGGATTCATCGCTAACGATGAGTCGATTTCATTCTCTCTGGGTCCATCGGAGGTGACGTTGGGCCCACAGCAGACGATTGACGTTGATGAAACGGCGTCAATATTGGCCCACGATATGGACGTCGAGAATGGAGATTGGCAGCCCGCAACCGATTTCGAATGGTCTGTGAGGACAGTCGACCTCTAAACATCTCAGCCCTGGTTCGTGTAGCCGGCAGAAATCTGTCACGTAGGTGACGTAGGACGATTTGACGGTCTTCTGCTCGTGACGTCACACGTGGACGACCCGACCGTGGGCGATCAGAAGTGGTGCCAGTTTGTTGTAGACGACCTCGCAAGTCATACACAGTACGACGGCTGCATCCCATTGCTCTTGCGACGTCAATAACTGATCTTCCCGCTTGCAACATGCCAACGGCACGTTCACGTTGCACATTTGACAATCGTTGCATTTCAAGTACCGTTAGAACTGTGGTTTAAAAGTGTTTTTTCAATTCTTGAGGCCAATGCAAACACGTGCATATGAAGAAATCTTCGATGCAAAGATCACGTAATCGACTGCACGTGCAAAACCTGATTTGGCACTAACGTCATTAGCACGACGAATGGATGGGTTTGAGTGGGTTTTGCTAACGTTTTTCTAGAGTCGAAAGATAGGGGTCCCATTTCGGATACATAGATGTATCATCAGAGAAAAATTATTCATTATTTTTCAAATTACATTTTGTGAAGTTTTTTTTTTGACTCAGTAATATGAGCAAATCCAAGGACTTCCTATGGGCTCCCTGCTCGGCTTTGCAATTGTCTGCCGTTTGTTAACGACAATTTTGGTTGTTGTACCAATTTGCTGTCCGATTCACCTGAACCACTACCAGGTCAAATCTGGCATTTCAAGCATATTGCTCCCCAAACCACACTTCCGCCACCGAATCTGTCGATCTGTCGAACGCAGTGCGGAATAAAACGTTCATTTCGACGTCAAACTTGTCGTTTCAAGCATTTTAAAGGCAATGTCAAAAAGTGCAATTCTTGGTTGTATGTCAGAGAAGATACTTAGTATAATTACTTGTTTGAGAGGCAGTTTAGAATGCCACTCAAACAACCTTCAACAGCCCCTCAACACCAGCCTCTCCCCCGACTCATCAGCCTCACCTCCACCTGTATCAACTCCACCTACTTCCCCTGGGGTGATGCTATATATGAGCAAATCCAAGGACTTCCTATGGGCTCCCTATATCCCAATGCTAACAGAACATTACATGACTGGCCTGGAAGATAAGGCACTAGAAACTGTACCCTTTAAACCTACCTGCTGGTACCGCAAAGTGGATGACACCTTCGTCATCCTTCAACCTCAACAAGATCCAATTCAGCTCCCATCTCAACAACCAACACCCCGCATCAATTGTGGAGGTGTGTGGTCCTGTGCGTAGAGCTCAGGTCACAATCAGTTGAAGTTAAGCAACGTTGGTCGCGGACAGTCCTCGGATGGGTGACCGTGTTTGGCAGCTTGACTCCTGAAAGTTTCTAGGACTTCAGTCCTACCCAACAACATAGCACATGTGACGCATGTGGTCTCACCTTAGGCAAGTGAGTTTGTTCAAAATTGCCTCTGTCCACCCAGCAGTAAAATTGGATACCTGGTATGATACGATGGTAGTCTGAATTTGAACCTTGAGCGCCTGACAGGCGACCGGTTGTATTCTCCACATGGAGTGTTCTGTACTCGTTGACCAGGGGGTAATATGTCAACGCTTTGAGCATGCAATGTGCATGGATAAACGCGCAATATAAATGGACTATTATTATCAATTCACCATTGAAACAGAGCAGAACAACCATCTACCTTTCTTTGACGTTCTTTTATCCCGTAGACCCGTGAAGATCCGGGGTAGAATAGGTCTTCAGCAACCCATGTGCTTGCCATAAAAAAGGCGACTATCTTGTCGTAAGAGGCGACTAACGGGATCGGGTGGTCAGTTTCGCTGACTTGGTTGACACATGTCATCGGTTCCCAATTGCGCAGATCGATGCTCATGCTGTTGATCACTGGATTGTCTGGTCCAGACTCGATTATTTACAGACCGCCGCCATATAGCTGGAATATTGCTGAGTGCGGCGTAAAACTAAACTCACTCACTCACTCACTTTTATCCCGTAACTCCTCCAACCAACTCCAGACCACTGTGTACATCAACTCCAACCATCTTCCCAAAGTTAAGACCGGCGTCATCTCTTCATGAACCAGAAGAACAATAAACCGTCGGCTCAACAAATCTACAAGAAGAAATTGAACACCTGAAGAACGTCTTTGTGGAACGTAACGACCACCTGGCTCAAATAGTCAACTGAACCATTCATGCCACTCTGTCGCCTCCTACCAAAAGATCCAAACCAGATTCATTCCCCATCAAGATACCCATTCCGTACATTGATAACCCATCGCATCACGACTCCTCAAACAACAAGCAGGCATAGACACATTCTCAGCGTCCTCCAGCCTCAACAACCTCCTTCCATGTGGAAGAAAACCACTCACCGTCAACAACAACCCGAAATGTCTTATTTATAAAATAAACCGTGATTGTGGACCGAGCTACATAGGTGACCCATCAACACCCAAGTCAAAGAACATCGCACCTCCGCTGGAAGAAACCAAGTATGTTGACATTTTTACAATTATTAACAAACCCATCCAAAGATAGTATTGCAAAACTATGTACATACATTAAGTTATGCATGTAAGTACAATAATGTTTTGTCCAGCCTCCTTTTGTAAATGTAAAAAATGTATATTTCATTGGATAACCATATTGTATCCTGTATACAGTGTAAAATGATGACGAGGGGCGTATAGCCCAAGTCTTTACTGAATAAAGATTCGACTATAAAATTCCGACAGCAAATCAGCCATCTTTGGCCGCATCAAAGCAAACCCCAACCACCAAATATAGTGGTCTGACGTCACCATTCTTGCTAACAACCAAAAGGACTTCACAAAACGCAAGCTCACCGAAGCCATTCATATCAAACGACAAAATCCCACCATCAACCGTGACCAAGGATACTTCATTCCATCCGCTTATGATGCACTCCTCCACCAAGTCTAATCTATTGTCTAAACATCTCCTTTAATTTTAACAACTTCTCTATATATTTGTTCATCAGTGGCTTCCATGCCCTACCCTTTGTCTACTCACTGGTTTCATGAGCCAACTGCTTAGCCAATTATGTTGTTTTCTTTGTCAATTATGTTGTTTTCTTTGTCAATTATGTTGTTTTCTTTGTCAAAATCAGTTAAATATACATCTCCTCCTCTTCATGTATCACTCCTGCTTGACAACGGTATAAGAATCTGTATCTAAACGTTGCAGTCACCAAATAAAGAAGTTGTCCCGTAAGTGTGTTCTGGATTATTATATTTACTTAATACAGAAAAGCACTTTGGTTCTTGACAGTTTTCTTCGTCGAATTTTAGTGTTTTAATTTTTTTAAATTAATAAACATCATGTTCAGCGGTGATGCAACGCCTATAATGAGTCTACTGTAGGCGCGGGTACAGTGAGACTTATCGATCGACCTTCATTGAAGTGATTCTCGTATTCCTACTCCAATATGAAACCTTCCAAAGGGGCAAGAAAACCTAAGGTCACAATTATTACTCTTCTTTTCTATCTACATCACATGCCACCCCTGTAGATCCGGGTTAGAACTGACCTTCAGTAACCCATGCTTGTCGTAAGAGGCGACTAACGGGATCGGGTTGTCAGGCTCGCTGACTTGGTTGACACGTCATCGTATCCCAGTTGTGTAGATTGATGCCCATACAGTTGATCACTAGATTGTCTGGTCCAGGCTCGATTATTTACAGAATGCCGCCATATAGCTGGAATATTGTCGAGTAAACTCACTCACATTACATGCCAGTTCTCAAAAACTGATATTTAGAAAAAGTACGTTTAAATCTGCATTTCTTGAAAATGTTGATATATTTTCAATAACGCTGCATGTACGGAAATAGATAAATACCTCTTCCTTGACGAGGAGTGAAATGTTTTTTAAGTCGCCTTAAAAGTAATCCATGACGTGTCCATGGGGGAGGAAAGCCCTTAGTGATTCTGATAACACCAAGAGCCTGGGTCTGGTGCCGACACACATAGGAACCTTATTCGAGGCGAACCGGGATTCGAACCTATGATCATAGATTCTGACGTTCCCAGGGGATGTAACTCTGCAGTTAGCTGCGGTGCCTTGGACAACTGCGCCATTCGTGATGATGAAGCGACCCTATTTATGAAAACGAATTTGGAAAACGAACATGAAGTGTGGTATATGGCTTCAGGATGCAGTACTTTGTATACCCCCATGGTCAAATTAGTTAAATTTCATGGGATCTGATGACGTCAATTTTGTTTTAGTGAGTGAGCTTGGTTTACGCCGCTTTTAGCAATATTCAAGCGGACGTTTTAAACACAAGGTTACCACACCGCCCTCATCCGCTCATGAACCTCAAGGCTGGGGTGACACAAACTGCAAGCTGGAGTGAGTCAGTGAGTTTAGTTTTACGCCGATTTTAGCAATATTCCAGCAATCTCACGGCAGGGGACACCTGAAATGGGGTTCACACATTGTATCCATGTGGGGAATCGAACCCAGGCCTTCGACGTGACGAGCCACCAGGCTACCCCACCGCCACATTCAAATTATAATTCTCTTAAATGCTAGACAAGGTCTTGATCTGTTTGAATGACATTTCAGAAGTTGATGAATAATAAGTAAGGTATGATACTTTATTGATAACACTTCTTATATTATGATGCCACGTTTCGGTATAGATTCTTGTACCGTTGTCAAGCAAGTTAAGGTCTTGATGATGTTCCAGCGTACAAAATACAAAAACTCAATTTTCAATTCATGTAATTTTAATAATAGGCAACGTATATACAGAAATGCCGGTACTTCCATTATGATTCGGGTTTTAAAATTATGTTTTAAAATACAATAAATGCTTAAAAGCAAATCAGCAAATCATCCTTCACTTCCGCATTCATGGGAAGCATTTTCGGTTGTAAATCCAAATGGCAAAAGAAAGTTTAGTGATTAGCATTACCAATACTATCGTGGGATAGGGGTTAAACCGGGCAATTTCTTGAGATTCATCACCAAGCACACATTACAATAAATACTGGTCATGCAAAAGGTTTAAAATCGTATCTTGTGACACCTCATTCGAGTCCAAACAGCAAACAACTTTTAAAAATACTGATAAAATACAATACCGAGTTTATACCGATATTAGACCAGTACGCCTCAAGTTGTTGCTATAAAACCAATACGCTTCACATATCGATAGAACACGCTTCACATAACCGGACACGTTTCACATAACAGGAGGCTTGACGCAAACAGTACATACTTCACATAACACGTACGGTAACCAGATATACAGAGTAAGTATATGTTAATTTGTACAACAATGTCACATTTAGCACTATGACGATGAGACCCAGTCTTGGCTGGTTGAATCCGTAGCACTATGAGATAGCTGGGGGTAACGGGACTGGGGGTTAGCACCGGGGACCATGTAAGGCATGTAGGGGTAAGCGCTGTTCAACATGCTGTAGGCGTTCATGTTATAGGCGTCCATGTAGTTGGCGATGCCTGGCGGCGTCTGTCCCATGGCCGCGTATGCTGCCGGGTTGTTCCACATGGGTACTCCTATACCCTGGGTCTGGTAGAAGGGTAGAGCTTGGTGAGCCTCAGGGGGTGAGGACGATGGACTTGAGGATGCCTGACCCTGTGAGGGCTCGGGGGAAGGGGTGCAGCTGGATATTGAACACGATGCTGGGTAGGGGGATGACAGGTCGGGAGATTTGGCTTCGTAAAGGTTCTCCGGGGGTGAGGACTGGTGGCGGTTGGCGGCAAGATAGGGGTTCCATATTGCACCGGGTACACTCTCCTGGGAAGTAACACCTGAGTTAGACAGAGGAGATGGTGTTGATGTTGTTGACGACGGTGGGGTTGTGGTCATGTGGCCTCTGGGAACGCCCCAGTTTGGGGTGCTGGCGTTCACACACTGGGCTGGGTCTGCGAAGCCGTAGGGCGTCGCTGGGGGCATGACAACGGCGTTTGGGGCCAGGTCCTGAAAAAACATGATGATGGCATTTAGCAAAGGCAATGAAAAGAAACTATATTTACGTGAAACATGAAGGGATTTACTCCCCTCCATAAAAGAAACATTTTTGTCAACAAGACCACCATAATTATAGATACATTACAAGACTGGGATTCGTTCGGGATGGAATTGAGTGAGTGAGTGAACTTAACGCCGCGTAAGCAATTTTGCAGCTAATCGCGGCGAATTTGGAATGGGAATTTAATTTTCCACATTGATATCACCAACATTTAAAAATAGCATGGCTTTTGTTACAACAATATGGATGATATTGATATATCTGCTCTATATGAATCGCCTTCATGTAATGAAGTGGAATCTGTTTGACACAACTATGATGATGCGACGTTTTGGTATAAATCCTTGTACGGTTGTGAAGGAGTTGTGAGTGACTCTTTCAGCATAGATCTTGCTTGACAACAGTAGAAGCATCTATACCGAAACGTTGTATCAGACCAGTATCATGCCTTTATGATGCGGTGCGCCTGAATAGACCATCAGTGTATGTCGAGCTGGTTTGATTACCACATGAGAACAAAAGGTGCAACGCCCATATATATTGGTATATAAAGAATGCAACGCACCTGCTTTCTGCCTTTACGTCGGACTCCGTCTTTGTAGCGGTAGCGGCGTCGTAGGAAGCTGCCGTGGTCGAACATGTCCTCGTAGTTGGGGTCGATGGCCCACTGGTGGCCCTTCTGTCCAGGTTGTCGTGGCAGCTTCATGAAGCAGTCGTTGAGGGCGAGGTTGTGTCTGATGGAGCCCTTCCAGCCCTTGGTGTTGGCGTGGTCGCGGTAGTAGGGGAACCGCTCCTCGATGAAGCCGTAGATCTCGTGCAGCGTCAGGCGGCGATCGTCCGAGTTGGCAATAGCCATGCTGATCAAGGCGATGTAGCTGTATGGCGGCTTGCCTGGGGGAAAAAGGTAAAGGTAGAATAAGAAAGTGAACTAACAAATAAAGTGAGTGTGGGGGCGAGTTATTTTAGTTTTAAGCAATATTCCAGCTGTACCTGTCGGGGGATATGGCCGAACAAATGAAGAACGGCCATCCAAAGCAAACTAATGTTCATGTTTACTAATAATTAAAACAATTTCCATCTGTCTTAACAACACAAATTATTTCTTTGAGTGGCTTTTAGAAATTGGTATGATGAACAGGAACGATATTTTTTATGGATAGACAACTTCTATTTTAGTAAGGGACCGTTCATAATTTATGGCTTGGGTGTGTGTGTGTGATGATGATTTTAAGGGGGGTTTCATCCATTTTGCTCTGGGGAGCTGGGTGGGGAAAAGCAATTTTGTACATTAAAATATGTTTAAAATTATGCTAGAAATTATGGGAAGGGGAAGGGGGTCATTGATTTTGTACATGACATGTACATAAATTTTAGGGGGGGATCATTCACATTGTACATGCTTCTCCATAAAAATCATCATCACCCCCACCCCACCACCCCCAGCCATAAATTATGAACGGTAACTAATTTTAGTTGTTGCTTAAAGTTTCTTTATCCAAGGACTGAATTCCGTGTGTGAAAAGTGCTTGCCGAACAATAATATACAGTAATAAGTGGGGATTTTGCAAACGTTCATAATCCCAACTTTGCTCACAGTATCAACCACTAGTTTCGTTTGACTGAAGCACTGGGCTATTTACAGGTCGTCGTGATGTTGCTGGAATATTGTTGACAGCGGTATAAAATAGCATTCGATTACAAGATGTTAGGTATGTTGTTTACCTTTAGGAATTGGCCGTTTGCGCTTTCTGGAGTTCTTTGGGGCAGTAGTGGTGTCGTTTGTTGCAGGTGGGGAATTCTCCGTGTCTGCCTCACTGGTGCTTGTTGATGGACTGTTGGAGTTTGCAAGGAGATCGTCGCTGTCTTCACTGGGAAGGGCGTTGATATCCGGCTTCGAGTCTCTCGATTCCTCGTCAATGACGAGGTTGGAGTCGATGGACGGAGCGTTGCTACCACCAACGTCGTACAATTCAGCCGATGTATAATATCCAATTTGTTTGAAATCAAGCGCCTTTCCAACTTGTTGGGGAAAATGTATTCCGCGAAAGTGATCCAGGTGTTCACCGCCGAAGTACATCGGCATGTTGACTTCTGCGCTGTAGTCTGCCATGTCTAGTTTACCAGTAGTCTGAATATGTTGCAGGTTCGTACGGTTTTCAAGTGGTTGTTGATTCTGCATGGTGGGTTATTATACTGTGAGACAGGCTGACAGTGGCTGCTCAAGTTAACTCTCGCTTTTGATTCCCCTATCCTTGACCATGAGCCCTATATGTCAACGCAGAACAATGTAATAGCCTGGCTTCTGTCGGTGGCTGCTATTAAGCCACGCCCACCCATTGAACACGCCGTTCGTGCTCCCCACGTGCAAGCACGTGACGGTGACCCCACTGACAGGTCACGGTTGTAGGTTAGCCAATCACAACGCGAGGATTTCGTCATGGATGATTGTGCAATATGTTACAAACATGGAATCCGCGTGCGGATTAATTGAAAGTGTCAATTTGGATTTTTACCTCTAAGTCAACTCGTCGTTATTATTTTCACTGATAAATAATACATAGTTTCAGCAATAGTAAATATAGGAAAATATTCGCACATAATCATTGGTATGAAAAACATAAGATGTTATATAACCTTCACAACACTATTGAGAAAGAATATACAATAACTCCAACGATTTAAAGAGCTGAGGCGAAATAATGCTGCCAGTCATGTGAACTTTGCGGAAGAATTACAGGACTCAATTTTCTCCATTTTTTCTCATTTCTCATTGTTCAGCGCGACTGTGACCTCATAGTGGGTTTGGTTAAAAGAATATACAAATGCACCGCACTCATCCTCAGTGTGAACATGAAATTGATATGTTATTCCCAAAATATTGTTTGCGTGTGTAAACAGGACATTGGGCCTCTCAGGCCTGTTGTTTATTTATTACATATGTAGCAAATAGTATTGTAACACACAAAAAACAAAACAGGTATGGTTTATCGCCACTTATATCTCTAAGGAAACAACACGCTATCGAAGACCCCGATCGTCACATCATAGGTCAAAAGAGATCATATACTGAGGGGAAAATATAAGGGATAACATGGAAGCACAAGAGTTCCCTTATTTTTTTCCAGGTGTCTTCACAAGCTATGCGATACAAAGCTTGTGAGGACACCTGGAAAAAAATAAAGGACCACTTGTGCTTTCATGTGATCCCTTATTTGTTTCCCTCAGTATATATACGGACAAACATAAGTATACACTTAAAATGAATTTGACAAAAAATGATCAAAACATGAATTGTCTGAAACAGTTTCCGAAACAATGCAATGTCTCGGTAGAAGACACAGCAGAAATACTTTTATCAAATACATCACCATCAAATAACCATTTTATTTTGTTACATTTTTAGCCGCCAAAAATGAGTGCATAATTCATTTGCTAGACAGTTTAGTTCATGATGGTTAAGATGATGATGATGATGATGATGATTTGCATTTATAATGCGCACCAGTCACAGTCTGTCTGTTTTGCTCTGTGCGCTAGCAATTTGGGCATTGGAAGGCATCGCTGAAGATATGAATTTTGAGTCTGCGTTTGAATGTTGTCACTTAAGAGGCAAGTTTAATGTGGTCTGGAAGTTAGAATTGATGCCAGTGTGGAAGCAGCAAATTGAAAGTCCTGTTTCCGAAGGTACTCGTTAATACAAATGGAACAGTCAGTAGATGTTTCTTTTGGGATCTTACAGTCGTTGGAGGTGAGTAAGATTTCAGTTGAAAAGAAGATAGTAATATATAAATGGCAAGAATTTTTCTGATATTATTTTGGCCTTGTGTAATAGTGTACGAGATGGGAATAATATTCGTCGTAGGAATAGTGTCCGTTGTTTTCGGCCTCAGCTAGAATCACACCCAACTCAAGAATCGTACCGTAGAATCACAATATAGTATTGCCGGACACATTATTGCAATAATGGTCTTAAACTGGCTGCGTAAATGCAAGACGGGTTAATTAGCTTTTGTGTTGTAATGAAACACAAATGGAGAGGTATGAAGACTGCTCCTAGTTCCACTTATAGCTCTCAGACGCCATGGTATAAGTTGTGACAGACCTAAATGTGTGACAGTCACAACTCGCAGATTAAAAGACAAACTACTCGAAGCGTTTCAAAGACGCCGCACCAGCGAAACAGTGCAATGAATGTGCATTGAAAAAGAACAATTGGGCCGATAAAACACATTTTGCACAAAAGAGTGTTTGCACAAAACCGGTGATTTATCTAAATTGATACGACGACTGTGTTCATTTCACTTTCAGTTTTCGAAACGTTTACTTTTTGTAAATAACCTCTTTTGTAGGTCGGTAGAAATTTGCCTGATGACAGTTTTGTTGCTGTAAAATTTAGAATTCAACCAAATCAGCAATCAGGGCTCCAGATAATTTTTCAATATCAGGAGTACGTACTCCTTATTTGTTCAATATAGGAGTACTGGAAAACCTTAAGTGTACATTTAGAGTACTGAATGGAAGCTATTGGACTATCAGTAATCTTGTGTTTCATTTCATATGTGCACCACAGCATTGCTACTCTTGTGTAAACAGGTCAATAAACAATAAAACAATACTTTTTATCAGATAAATACGTCTGTAAATGATTCAAAGACCATACACCATTGCTGTGGTGCGTATCTGCTACGTTTTCTAAATTATTTCCTACCGTATCGTGCATATTTTGTATCCGTACATACGCCGATACGGTCCTTATCTGGCGCCCTGAGCAATGATATAGTAGATTTTCGTAATGACACACACTACATACATTATATATAATAGAAACTGAAAGTGGTAATAACTATGAGAGTTTCATAATTCATGTATTCAGAGGAACATTTTTTTATGGACAGACAAGTTCTTTATTTCAATAGATGCGACGTTTAGGTGTAGATCCTAACACCATTATCAAGCAAATGGAAACGTCGAATCTATTGCAATAATGAAGTGGTCTATCCATAAAAGTGTTCTTCATCGTACCAGCTTCTAAATGCCATTTAAAGAAATTCACGAATTCGTTAAAAACAACAAATAACTCAATCTTGTTTACTCTACAGCGTGTTTTGTGGTAACATTCCGATTTTCTTTTCTATTTTAAAAATTGCTTTTCATGAAGAATGTCATTCGATATTTTTGTTTCAAATCAAAGAAAATATCGAAGCGTGTTTTTACACCTGAAATATAAGTACACCACGAAGTTCATTATACTCTTCAGTAAATGAAACTACGCGGCTGTACTGTCGGCTCCTTTGATGTCTACATGGGGGCTACTTTGTATGTACTTAATCTGTTCTAACATCCATTTACCTGTCCGCAAACACCGATCACAACAATAAACGATTACTCAAGGGGGTCAATTTTGTCGTGACCCTAAGATCAAGCCTCACAGGTGTCAAAGTCGTTCCCAAGGTGCCATCGAAGCAAGTAAAGACAATAGCTCCACACGAGACGGTCATTGTCCTTATGCTAATATATATGTTTCCACGCGGGTCGGGAGCTCTAATTGACTTCAGATAGGGTTTTAAGGCTTAATCTTCTCCTATCAGCCTTTGTATCAAAGACTAATCGCTCAAACCAAAACAGCGAGTTTTAATTTTTTTTTGTATAGGTGTTTTAATCCTCGTTTTACAAATTCCGTTTTTTTAAGTATTCATGGCGCCAGACTGGCGCTATCTGACCCGCAGAGTGAATCTTCTTACTGTTGTTTCGAATACATGATACGCGCTACTGTTACGTTATAGGACTCGCTTCCACATTAATTAATGGAACTATTTTAGAAGAAAAACATGAAAAAGTATTAAATTGTGGAATATTTGTACGCTGTACAACACACAGAATATTAACATAACACGTAGTCGGCATCTTTCATGAAAAAGACTTTATATATGGAAATACACTTAGTTTCAAAGTGAAATAAACAATAAACAATAAAAAAATAAACAATAAATCATAACAACTTCAGCTGAGTTGTAGCAACTTAAGTGAGCACAATTTTAGTTGTTTGATCGGAACTGTTCCTAGCATTTATCTTTTTCGCTTTAATTCAAGGTGATTGCAGTCACATTGTCTCGTCGTGCCCTTTCCCGAAGAACCCGGTGACAACTTGAAGTTGTGGATTTTACAACGAAGGCACTCTTCATTATCTTTGGAAATAGTGAGTGAATTTAGTTTTACGCCGCTTTAAGCAATATTCCAGCAATATCACGCACCAGAAATGGCCTTCACGCATAGTACCATGTGGGGATTCGAACCGGGTCTTCAGCGTGACGAGCGAACGCTTTTAACACTAGGCTACCCCACCGCCCTCTTTTGAAGTAATCATATTCCACACTACGGTAGATACTATAACTTGTATAAGTATTGTTAAATAATTCTGATTTACCTGATACATTGTGAAGATTATGAAATCTGTTCTTGATTTTTTCGTTCACCTGTACTACTTGCTACATAAGTGTTAATACAAAATGAATACGCTGTGTACAAATTATGTTCTACTATCTTAGTTTAACGACATAATACCATTATTAAGATATGTATATTATAAACGTGTTTACGATGTGTTGGTCTTCAAAATATATCGACAATATATGTAAGTAACGAAACGAAATCGATGCGTGAATATGGTAACTTTGTCTAATTGCAAGCGTTTGCCTGTCGGAAACTTCAATGAAACAGAATAACAGGTTTTAAAATATCGATATTATTACTCTCAGATGTGTCTACAGAACCATGTTTGTCTATGTATTTATCTTAATTTCTCAACATCTTTGCTTCTCTCCCAAACAATCCCCGTAATCTTTTAGCGGTTAGCCTAATATACCCAAGGGAGATTACTCTAATTATTTGTTCGTTTTTCAGCGCCATATTTGAAGTCAACAAACACGCAGAACTCCAATGTAACCTAAAATGATAATTTCCAGGAGCTATGACAATGACGCGGGTACTTGTTAAACTGTTTTATCGTTATCATGTTAAGATTATGTTTATATCGATTTGTGAACATTATTTTGTAAAGATAAAGATCGGTTGATCTATCATGACATGAATGAATGAATGCCTCTAGACTAGTTCCTAGACTAGTTTAGAGCTGGTTACACACATATTGGCATTTTCTTCTTAGTCTTATTAATGACTCGATGAATGAATCACCGATACATGTTGACTTGCATACGTTTCCTGTGGTTCGTCTTCCAAAAGAAACACAGGCAAATGCTTGCGGGTGAAAAACAAATGTGCAATTGCTAAAATGTAAACATGGAAAGTGGAATGAAAAATGTTGTGTAATTGATTCGTGCACTATTTATTCCATTGGTCTTCACAAGATCGTCAAAAATTGTTAGTGCCACTAGTGCCCCTTATTTCTTAAAACATTAAACCATTCATTTACCAAATGTCTTTATCTAAAATATTTATATATCTTGTCCAGATAGAAGTTCAGAACATGCAAGTTGGGCAAAGTTTACTGCTTCGGCAACTGCCACAATAGTAGACACAAGTTGATCTGTAAACATGACTCTTTTATGTTAACATGTTCAGAACTTTTTACAAAAAACATTATTTGTTGTTGATAATTTATTTCCCACAGAAGGAGGTATATGTATATTCTTTTATCTACTCTCGCCCAGCTTGTGAAGTCCGCTTTAGAGTGTTTTGCAGCTAGTTAAATGTCTGTAGGGTAAGATTGTTGTAGCCAGGTCAACCACACAATCTACTGAAAAAGACTAGTTCTGGCTTTTTGAATCACAGACTGGTATATGATCATGCATTGTCTGTTCCAGCGTTCATCTATCCTGAGTGATAGCAACTCTGATGTAAACAGCTTCTCTACAATAGAGAATGTGAGAGAGGGTGAAACCGACTGCACTTTTGACTCCGAGCTGAGTGATGACTCCACCTCCACTGCACCAGCAACACACGTCCTCAATGGTGAGACGTCTCTCATAACACTTTTTATATATTAACATTTTGTCAGCACATTCCAACTGTTTGCTGAAGTATTGTACTCAGTTTTCAAAATTGTCATTAAAACCAGGGAATCCTTGTCCTAACCCTAATCATGCTAATGTCAAGAGGTTTAAGGATCAAACATACAAATACATTGTACAATAACATCAACAAAATCAACCAATCACTGCGTCACTCCCACTACCTCTCTTTTAGTTCACTCTGTATTTTGACCATCTTGTCATGGATACAACATTTCTGGTGTCCCCCGCCGTGATGTTGCTGGAATATTGCTAAAAGCGGCGTAAAACCAAACTCAGTCAGTCAGTCAGTCATGGATACAAATGTATCATTTTTCAAACTGTGGCATATAGCACTCATACAGATGCTACGGCATGCCTACAGTATGATTAGACTGGATCAATTTCAGTCATTTCACCCTTTTTCACCATAGTGCATGATAGCATGGACTGTCAGATGTTTGCCCTTTTTCCTTTCATTGAAATTGAATGTTCTCTTTTCCTATTTCACGATCTGATTATGTGTTCATAATTTTCCGTGAGTATTTCCAGTCTATTGTATGTGTGGAAGTACATTTATCTGTCTCTTTTATTAGAAACATCATCACCATCACCTGCAAAGGCTTGTGTAGATGTTGTAACCATGGTAACCAACATTTGTATCGACATGCTTAAGAATTTAGAAACCTGTAGGGAATCAGAAAATTCTTCATTAACTTACTCAGGGTAAACATAGGGACTGGGGCCAGGGTTTTACATGAAGTGGGATTCCTGCGTATTTGACGCAACAATTTTGTTAAAGACTCTCAAAATATTATCATACGAGTCAAGCTTGATGCATGTTTTACGAGTGACCCTCAGAATTCCGTTCAGAGTCAATAAAATCGATTTGATAGCAAACAATGATAGTTTTGGTGAGGTCTTCATTAATTTAGATATTTCTTTCAATTCATGTTAATAACTGTATGTTACGGTGAATAAATCACAAGCCTGATTATGTGTTCAGTATACTGGAGTTTGTTATGACTGAACTGAACAGTGAAAAATATACTATTTATTAACTAACATATAAATGACAATACAACACAAAACAATAATGACTTTTTTTGAACACTGCAAAACTCTTATACTATTTTTTATGACAATACACACAAAACAATATTACTTGCATTTTTATATACACACACAAATATTACGTAAAAAGTTTCATGACTCCCAAATATTGAAAATGACTCCCCAAAATAAATACTGTGGGTCACCATGACTCTCTTTTTTCAAAGTCTGTGTAAAACCCTGACTGGGGCTTTGACATGTTTTGGTAACCCAGTTGCAAACATGGACCAGTCTCTGACAGATGCCTTGGTTGAACATTTGTTGGTGCTCAGGTATTGGATTGATCATATTATGCTTTAGTGCCTTGAGGACCGCCTCCGTGGTGTAGTGGTTACAGCATCCAACCGGAGAGCGGAAGGTCGCGGGTTTCGATCCCCGACCGCGTCATACCAAAAGACGTTAAAATATGGTATTTGTTTGTCCCTGCCTGGCGCTCGGCATTAATGGGTACAAGGACTGGTCGGCTCGGAGTCAGTATAATGTGTCTGAGTGGGGTATTCATGCTTCACTGTGGCATGGTATCTCAGTGAGCTAGCACTATAAATATTAAACCAGCTTCAGTCTGGGCTAGTACAAGCAGCCGCACATACACATACACACGCATGCACGCCGTCATATGAGCCGAAATATTCTCAAGCACGACATTAAACCCAATTTCACCTCACCTTTAGTGCCTTGAGCATCAGCAAGTGTGTTGATACAGGCACTACATACACATACTGACTGTATGTTGTTGTCATAATGGAGCAGGGGTGTCTTGTCTTCCTATGTGTTTGGGGAAATATACATTAAACGTAGAGAAAGGGACACCATAGAAAAAAAAAAGTTGCTGTACATTTAGACTAACTGTTAATTAAGGGATGTAGGCTTCCATTCCACTGGCTGCTCTTGTAAGTCAATCTGTATTTGCAGTAAGTACAGCATGTTTTCAGATCATTCTCGTTATCAGCTTAAAACACTGTCAGTGAACAGTGAGATTTTTGTTAGTCCTTATAACAATCAATCAGGGAACACATCTAGAGAGGATGTTCATTGTTTACATAGATGAGAAGCCAGTTTGAAAGTTGCATCAGATGACTGTTCTTGTTTAGGAAATCTTAGCACTGTAATCAAATCATGACATTAAAGGGGAAGTGTACACTCGATAAAAATCACATTTATTTTATGTGAAACAAAGTGAGATATTTTAATTATTTAATATCAATGTTTGAAATAATACACTCATTTTTTTCTTACAATTAAAGTATAGCCCTCAAAATAAGTCTGACTGACTGAGTTTTGGTTTTACCGCTTTTAGCAATATTCCAGCAACATCCGGCCGGGGACACCAGAAATGGGCTTCACACATTGTACCCATGTGGGGATTCGAACCCGGTCTTGCGTGATGAGCCAACGCTTTAACCACTAGGCTACCCCACCGCCCTCAAAATAAGTGCTGAAATGTTATGCCATTATGCAGTCCTTGTTTGCCGAATCTAAACAGGCCAGAGTTACATCACTTTGATTATGACGTAATTGGTGCCACTTGATTTTAGACTGGTCTCCTGTCTAGTCCGAAATCAAAAGATAATAATACTGAAATTAATCAAGTTTTAAAAAATATGAAAGAAGCATAAGGAACTGAAAATGTAAGCAGCAGGACAGATTGATCGTGGGGTGTATTTTCATTCATAACCTCACGTACAATGAAAATACCAAATATGTGTAACAATGTTGACGACGTATGACATCACTATCGGAAGCTTGAAATTCTCAAAATGGCAATGTTGGTTCACTGACACGAGGACATTCTCGATTTTTTCGACTGAAAATTTCGTTTCAAGCAACATATATACATAAATGTGACTTGTAAGTTGTCCAAGCATTCTGACAACCTGCTTGTTGTTATTTTCCTTTTGATTTCATTGTGACCAAGGGAAATAATCAGAAATGAAGAGAACTTCCATCGTCGGTGTGCATGAGTTTGCGTCAATCGCGGGACGCCACGCTTTCAGAAACTGTAATATGTTGTGATAAATCTCGAAATCATTGGAATACACCTATTTTATTGAACTATAAAACTAAAACTAATGAGCAAGTATGCAACAAAAGTAGGCTTAACAGATACACAGAGTGAAATCTGAGATTGACTTTGTTTACATTTCAAACAAGTGGTCCTTTCCCAGCACGGCATCTGATACATTTCGGTCAGATTCATTGAAACACTGGGTATTGGTGACAAAGACCATTTGTCATTTTATTTGGAACTGTATGAGGAATTCTGGGATTCGTGTAAGGTAATGCGTGTGACGTGATTTTATAAACACTCTGCAATATGGCTGAAAATTCACTTGGACGTTAACTGTGCATATTTTCTAAAACATTCTCAGCTATTGTCGGGTTGAATCGACAATGTTTCAGAATGAGCATTGGTGATTCGATCAAACAACAACAAAAAATACCGCTGATCACAATGCTATATGTTTTTTGTTTTGTTTATTTTTATTTTGTGTTCTTTTGTTGTTGTTTTTTGGTTTTTTGTCCTTTAGATTCAATTCTCCCAGCAAAATTTGACACACTAAAATTACAAAAGTGAATGGGGATTTCGTGAATGTGTCAAAAGTGGCCAGATTTACGATGCATGTAATTTTCAGTATATTTGTCAAACAATGGGCAGATAATGTCATAGAAAACGAATTTCAAACAGAATTAAAACTGCCAATTGCATTTATCTTCGTGATGTATTTGGATATGGTATCGATAGGGGTATCTTCCCATAAGACAGACCTCCCAAAAGACAGACCGCTTAAACAACACATTTTATGGTTGGTTGCATAAGGCTTAATGAAGCTGTACCCTTGATAATAATGGTATGTGCCCAGATAAAAAAAAGACAACATTAGGTATTAACTATAGTTTTTTCAATTCATGTAATGAATTATGATTTTAAATTAAGACATATTTCATCAACACATATGTACATCAACACCTATTTGCCAGATCACATTTACTTGTTAATATTATTCAAAAACAATTATATATATACATGTACCTATCAAACATATGAGACCAATCACCATATTATTTTACATCACATGTCAGATAGGAGCACAGATAACACTTATTAGAAAGTCACTTGAACATCATCTTTCTCTCCTTTCACCTTGCTCTTGGCATACAGGTAGCCATCCAGAAGGTCTATCTGAAAAAGGCACGGAAAAAAAGTCATGGGAAAATTAACTATTATAAAACATGTTTATACTGAAATTTATAAATACTATTTCACTTTCATCTTCAGTAATAAAACATCCTGTTCTCCAGTTATTTGCAAAAACTAATTCAACAACATGTAAATAAGCTTATGGAGGACCAGCTTGGTATCTTTATGAGATTGTTGATATTACTTTTACGCTTGACGATACTGTCATATTAGCTGAAACAAGTGATGGATTGCAAAAACTTTGAATGTGTTTGACCAGTATTGTAAAGAATGGAACATAGTGTGAATTTAGATGTATGTGATGAAATTCACTTTTTATTAAACTGTCCAGCACTAAATGCCCTCAGAAATCAATTTCTTCCCAATATTTCTGTAAACATTGTACTATTCAAAGATTTGTTTATCTAATGAAATGTGATTATTCACCACTTAACTCTAAAGTTGCCAAATTTATCAAAACTGGACTTCGCTCAATGTTTTAATATGTGTCAATATGCTGTATGTTCTCTGTGTCACTATATGTGATTTTTTAGAATAATATTTTGGTTCTATATTCTGTTCTGTTCAGTAAAAGGATTAGTAATATGTTCTCAGAAGGGCACAGGAGATAGGAGTGTGCTGTTACTATACTCTGTTGTGACTCTGGGTCAGCTCATTTATTAAATAGGGGTGGACAACATGGCTCAGCTAATTTGTGTACACATTGAGTCTGTCTTTTGGGAGGTCTGTCTTATGGGAGGTCTTTTGGGAGGTCTGTCTCATGGGAGGTCTGTCTTTTGGGAGTGAGCCTTGATAGGTGGAAAGAGTGGAAGAGATGGGACATATATTGTACGATCTATGTAGGAATTAAGTAACAAACGTAGAATGCCGACACATTCGCTGATGGCAAGTGAGGTGTAGTGCATAAACGTTTTAGTTTTTGTGAAAAATGATACTGTTGAAAGACGACCGACTCGGGTTGAATGTTGTACTATTTGGTTACGTGGTAACACTGCTTGTACAATCCATTGAAAAGTGCACACTGTTTGTCCAACTTAATGTTTACAAACAAAATGAAAATATAACATTGTTACTTTGTTTTCATTTATGATTGTTATTGTAAATAAATATAACTCTAACCCAAATATATATCTGGTCGGGTCATTTCCCACCTTCCTGACATTTTTTTTTGTTATTTCACTCAAATATAAGAATGAATGAACAAGAAGAGTGAATGAACAAGAAGTAGTGTAAAATACATTCAATCTTTATTATTCAGGTCCCATCTGACAAAGTTCTTTTGGTATAGCATTTTGTTTTCATGTATCCATTATGACAGAGCTTGAAATCACCACTGGTCTTGATAATCACCAGCTGTGTTATTTATGTTATTGGTTGCTGACAACATGGCAGTGTATTGTACAGTTATAGGATTACAATAAAGGCTCCATAAGTAAAGTAATTATTGTGATAAATGGCAGCTAAAGGTAAATATAGAAAAAACTAATGTATTCGGCTATGTATGGGTTAATCAAGATGTAGGTTGTGTTAACAGTTATATTTCAAGTTTTAAGGAAAGGTGTATTGCTATTGATAGCCAGTGTTTCTTTGAAAGTATATCAAGTTATTCCAAACTTCGGTTATATAAATCTGTTAAAAGTGAAATTAAATGTGAGGATTATTTATTGCTAATTAGTGTACCAGTTTACTGTATTGCACTCCGTAAGCTCTGATGCTCTAATCATCAACTGCTAATCGAGGAAAGACGAAAAGATCGGCACCTAGCACGGAGCTGAAAGATTATGCCCTTTTGCATTGTACCCATTATTGAGTCTGAATATCACTTCTGCTTAGAATGTAATTTTTATAATAATCTTCGCCAGGCCCTGCTCCCCAAAGTACAATGTTTGAAGCCCATTTCTGGTGTCTCCTACCGCGGATGTTGCTGGAATATTGCTAAAAGCGGCGTAAACCAAAACTCAGTCAGTCAGTTCAATGGTAGTGGTTGCTTAGTGTATACCTTTTTAATTGTTTCATGACATTCAAGAAGTTGGGGAGTCAATCACAACTTTGTGAAAACAAAAAGTTGTAATCTTCGTCATGTTTGATATCTGTATGTTATTTTATTTGTTTTTCTTACATGTATACCATAAATTAGGTAAGATTTTTTTTAAATGGTTTTACAGATTTTGTCGACATTGTGAGAAAAATAATGAAACAAATGAGGTCCTGTGCATGGAGCTCAGGTCACAAATCAGTTGAAGTTAAGCAACGTTGAGCTCGGATAGTCCTTGGATGGGTGACAGTGTTTGGCCACTGAGAGTTTCTAGGACTTCGGTCCTGCCCCACAACTGAGCACGTGTGACTCGTGTCCTCACCTTAGGCAAGCAAGTTTGTTCAAAATTGCTTCTGTTCATTCAGCAGAAAGTGGGTACCCGGTGGGACAATCATGTGACTAATAACTTCTAGCGCCTCACAGGCAGCTTGGGTTTTCTGGGGTAATAATGTCTTAGCGGTTTGAGCATGCACAACTGTGTGGAAAAGGAGCGTTATAATGGCCAGTATTATTAAATATTAGCAAATAAAAATTGGTATGTCCATTTTTACTTTGTGAGGGTCACATGTTTGTTTGTCATGCCACCAGGTGTCACTGCCTATGTCGAGGTGCGGACATGTAATGACAACCGGAGTCATGCCATCTCGGCCGCCCTTCGCCAGTTGGGGGCAGTTGTGGCTTCCAAGTTCACTGATGATGTCACGCATGTTATTTTCAAAGAGGGCTTGAAGAGAACCAGAGACAAGGCCGTCAAGAAGAACATCCACCTTGTGTCCGTTCTCTGGGTTGACAGGTTAGTTTGTTGTTCTTTTCAGCTGGATATTGCTTAAGAGTCTGGCATACAAACCAGTGAATCTTCAGCATGATCAGCTGTGTCACTGAGCGAGACCATCCAGTCCAGTGAAACAGTGTGTGTTCATAAATGATGAAACATGTATGCAAATTATTTTCAAGTTTTACCAATTTATGTAATAGTTCACTTCATGCATACATTAAAATACTATCTCATGATTGGTTATAGAGAAGACAATTAATGTTACTATCTGCTATGAGGTTTTGTTACTGCAGACATATTCCAGGGCCCAGTTCCACAAAGGGATCTACGACTAGGACTATCATAAGCCTATGTCGAAGTAGACCGCCTCCGTGGCGTAGTGGTTAGAGCGTCGGCCCCGAGAGCGGAAGGTTGCGGGTTCGATCTCCAACCGCGTCATACCAAAAGACGTTAAGATATGGTACTTGTTGGTCCCTGCCTGGCGTTTGGCATTAATGTGTACAACAAGGACTGGTCGGCTCGGAGTCAGTATAATGTGTCTGTGTGGGGTATTCATGCTTCACTGCGGCATGTATCTCAGTGGGCTAGCACTATAAAACCAGCTTCAGTCTGGGCTAGTACAAGCAGCCGCACATACACATACACACGCATGCACATCGTCATATGAGCGAATATTCACAAGCACGACGTTAAAACCCAATTTCACCTCACCTATGTCAAAGTATGGGAGTTACAAACACATTAGTGCTGAGACAGCTCTGTGGAATGGGCCCAGTCATTTATGGATTATTGTCAATAAATTTGTTGTCAACCAGTTGTTTTTGTTGGGCCAGTTTGTGCGATGTGCCATGTGTGTGAGCCTGTGTGAACCTTTTCATGAAGAAACAGTCTGAAACACCGTAGGATAATTTCCATCACTTTTGTTTGTGATACATATTTTATGATGCTTTTGTATCAATGAAGTGCACATCCACTTTGTGCATGTTGCTGTTCCAGTTGCAGGAAGAAGGAAGAGCATGTATCGGAGAAGTTGTTTCCGGCCATTGTGCCTGAGAGCTCCTCCACCCCAATCCAGTTTCCTCGCTTCAAGGTGAGTGAATGTTGTTTTACGCCACACTCAAACATTGTTGATACAGAGAGTGCAGAGTGCATTGGTCGGTGACCAGTACACAATCAAACATTTTTCCTCTGAATCGAACATGACCAATCTGGAACACTTGTTTGCATTAGCAAGTTTTTCAGGCTGGATTTGTCTGGTCACCATGCACTAGAACTGTAAAGTAATCTTAAAGATCATTTCACCCTGCCATTTATATTTTGTAAAATTAACAAAAATATAATAATAAAACGCCATTATCCCATTTATGTCTGCTCAGGGGACCAGAAAATGTCTTTAGATCTTCATGAGATACTGATTTCGAAACAAACTTAACCTATTTTGACCTGGAATGCCCAAAGGGTCATTGGACAATTTGAGGAGGTAAAATACAGTTACTGTTACTATGGTAACGCTACAGCAGACCCAGTTTGAAAGATCCAGGTTAGAATTTGTCTTCAGCAGCGATCATTTTAATTTGTATTTTTTGAATATATAATGCCAAGTGGCTACTAACATGTTTTAGGTGGTTAGGTTCACTATTTGACCTGGATGCCCAAAGGGTCATTGGAAGGGAGGTAAAATACATATACTATGGTACTACCATCAAAAGTTTAGAATCACAAGTGTAAATGTAGCCACTTACTTCAGTCAACTGTTCTAAACTAGATTTTGCAAATTATTCCATACTGTTTGAAGGTGCTATTTACACATGAACTGATGTGTTGTAAAACAAATTGAAAACGTTATTGATTATTGTCCTCAGTTCAATAAATGATGAAACACCAAAACGCAGCTGTTCACATGCACAATATTTGCACATGCTTTTCAGCAATTTGAGGCATGATACTCGTTCCCCCAAGTTAGTGGAGAAATTCATCTTCGATGTAACCATATATATATTTTTAACATATAGAGAGTGCTTTAAGTGAGCCTAAACTTTTGATGGGTAGTATATAATCGTATCCCAGGTGAATAAATCAATGTTCATGCTGTCAGTCACTCTGTTGTCTGGTTCAGACTTGATTGTCAAGAGACTGCCATCATATTATAATAATAATAATAATAATGCACTTGTAAAGCACCTAATTTCCAACCGGTGGCTGCTCAGTGGTGCTTCACAAGGTTATAAAAAGAATAAAATACTCAGAGTTATTGGTTGAAGAGATGGGTTTTCAAGTCACGGGCGGAATAACTGGACAGAGTCTGCAGAGATTTAATATATGTTGGTAGGCTGTTCCACAAAGTTGGAGCCACAACAGAAAAAGCCTGGCTAGCTAACTTTGTCCTCACTTTGTATAACTAGACAATTGCTGAGAGTGGGTCTACACAATAAACAAACACACAAACAAACCTAGTGACGTGAGGAGGAATGAAGTGTGTTGTAGCTGTGACAGCAATGGCACGTACCACAAGTTTGTTATGAGATGGCTTCCTGTTCAGAAAATGAAGTCCATGCAGCCATCTGACTTCAACGAGGATGTTGTCAGCAGTGCCGAGAGGTGTCAGAAGAGGAGGAAGCGGGTTGCAACCATGCAGCGCTTCCAGATCATGGAGGAGACGCCCGAGTTCACGCTACCAGCCATTCTTGTACAGGAAACACAACCCAGATCTGTGGTGAGCAGACACAGCCTACCTTATCCACGGGGTATAGGTTAGGGGAAAGGGGTCGAATGTTGCTTTTAAGACGTGTAGTCATGTGACCTAATCCTATGAAGTCATTAAAAGCGACTGGTGTTGCTTTTGTCAGTCTCAGCTCTGTGTATCTTACCTATGTTTACTGTCTGTTAAACAGGCTACATATATAGTGTTGGCGGGAATACATGTGGTTTAAGGCTGTTAGGCGTTATATTCAAAATTTGTAATTGATTCAAATAATATTCAAAATGAATAATTGTGTAACAATTTCACAATGTTTTAATTAGGTCACGGATGACGTAGGTTTGTATAAATATGGCGATATGTATGCATGATGGGTGCTAGCCCTCTGAGATACTGTCACAATTTAACATGGAAATCTCAGTCTCCTAACTACTGTGAGATGTTAATGTGTTGTATGATCGTCAGTCTCCTAGCTACCAGGCCAGCGACAGTAGGTGGACCACGCCCGTGTCTCTCACCATCCCGGACACTCCCCCCAGCATGAGGGAAAAACTCAAGCAGCTGAAACTGGCCAAACTAAATGGTAAACACGCTTGTATAAACCCTCCAGCTTCTGATCTGGCTGTGAAGTGATGTTGTAAGCACCTTTTTTAATTAAATCTGGCAATAAATTTGTTTGATACTGCTGTCCCAGTTCTAATGATATATAAGTGGGTTATTTCTTTTTGTAAAAAGCACACAGTTTTGTTTATAGGAAACAAGCATACAAACTTTCAGATAACGAACTGATTTAATCGCTGGAGATCAGGTTGAGATGAAAGCTCTCGTACAAGTTCCCTTGAGATGACAACATTACCCAACATTCCTCGCTAAACAATCAGCTGCAGTTGTCTCTAAAATAGTTGAGCACTTCTTGGTTCATGGCTGAGAAATATCGACTTCATACCATCTTTACTTCCTTGTCATAGATAGTTATTGTTATCTTTTTGGAGGTCTTTTGAATCAGTATTGCTTTGTTACTTTGGAGGTAAAATATAAAATATATTGAGAGTGAATTTGTCGAAAACTTTTTTGTGTTGCAGGAACGACCTTCTCTCCCTTGGCTAGACCAACTGACGACACAGAGCCGCTCATCAGGAAACTCTTCAGTGAGTCAACACACGCAACCCAGTGATACTTTCAGTAGTCACCTCAACAGTTACCTGAAAACCATGTGGGGATACCACGAAATGTATCCATAATCCACGTTTGTCGTTAATGCCAATCATGTTGTCTATTTCTTGGACCTTCCTTGTACCTTGTTGACATGGATCAGTGCCCATGTTCTCCGTCAAACTATTTCTGGACTAGAATTGATCTGCTTGATTATGAATTATGTGTGTTACCATTGGTTACAATGCCGAATTGTATAACAGGTATTGCAGTGATGTTCATTTGACTTGTGTAGTATGTTTGACAGGAAATACATTGACATGTACTGATTTCCTCCCCAGCAGCAGAAAGTCAAGGAGTGGAAGAGGAAGACCCACTCCCTGCTGCTCCAGCATCTGATATCCCGGTGGATGCTAGTCTGAAAAGTCGCAAGAAGAAGAAATTACTTACAGAACCAGTCAGACCATCTTCGTTTCTGATGGAACCCACGCACTGCTCCACTGTAGTGAGACCAAGTCTAGTCTCCCCTGCCCTGAATTCCGGGGTCCAGGGTCGGAAGAAACAACTGACTGGAGGAACTCGGGGGAGGGAGTCAGTGGAGGAGGCAGGGTCAGGACCTGTAAAGGGTGGTAGAGGGAGGTCACTGGAAGATCCAGGGTCAGGCCCTGTGAAGGGAGAAAAAGGGAGGTCAGTGGAAGAGCCAGGGTCAGGCCCTGTAAAGGGAGGAAGAGGGAGGTCAGTGGAAGAGCCAGGGTCAGGACCTGTGAAGCGGGGAAAAGGGAGGTCAGTGGAAGAGCCAGGGTCAGGCCCTGTAAAGGGAGGAAGAGGGAGGTCACTGGAAGAGCCAGGGTCAGGACCTGTGAAGGGGGGCAGAAGGAGAACAATGGAGGCGCCTTGGTCGGGGCCATCACGCAGGAGACGGAAGCGGAAAGTGGAAGAGCATAGTGACACAACAGATACTGACAGACAGACGAAAAAGAAGACACGATGCAATGGGGATCCGCACACGGCAGAGAAAGGGGTTCAGAGGCGGAGGTCTGTGAGGGGACGTGTGTCTAGTACTGCTACTAGTGATGTGTGTAACTCGGACACCTCAAGAACTGACCACACCTTGTCCACACTCTGTGAGTCCGACAAATCAAGGATGTTGGGGGCATCCATGTCCGCCATATTTGATAGCACGGCAGCCATGACAGCATTAGCTGCTCCTCGACCTAGCATAGACGAGTTCTCTGTGTGTAAACCACGGTTTGGCAAGGGAAACGCAAACTCAGTGCCCACCAGTATATGTGAAAATGACAAACGCAGTAGACAGAAACCAAAATATGTGGGAAAACCAAGACGAGGTCGTTTATCATTGTGTCAGTCATCCAGTGAAAATGGGGACGATGAAGCTACAGAGACGAGTATGAACGATACCTCAGGTGTAAGCGACGGAGATAAACCCACACAGATAAAACTCAGGAGAGCAAATTCATTTGCTAACGACAAATCAACCTGCCTGTCTACATCCTCCCTGATTAGTCGAAATCGTCCGTCCATTGTCATGACCAGTTTACACACACAGTGAGTACATCTTCACCTAGCTCTGATCACTTACCAAAATACATGTGGTACATGTTACAATGGTTACTGCACTAACAATAACTTGTCTTTGAATTATGACTGACATTAATCATCCTCTATGACAGTCTGATGTCGTGATTTACAACATTCCGTACCATTCGCTAAGTTGAAGAATTGATCAAGGACAAGTAGATAAAGTTGTTCAGGAAGAGGATTCCAAGAGTAAACAAAACGAGACCAATGGGAACGGAACTGCTAACATTGTTTTGTATCTAGCCTCAAATATAGACTCTTCAAAAGTCTGGCTAAGTGAAATCATCTATTTCAATGCATGTTGGTTCTATCTGCCTTTAGTTACTGCATGTACTTGATTTCATCTTCAACAATTACAAGGTCACCATGATTTCTTCTTGATTTCATTTTTACATGTTTTAAGGTGTCAATTATGTTGTAATTATATGCACATATGAAATTCAATGTTAATGGACTTTTCATAGTCCATGTTAGTTTGTACACTTGCTATGAATTTGCTATAATAAGCATGATGATTGGGTTTAATTTTTAAATAAAACCTATTAATCTTTACATGCAGTAGTTGTGGAACTTGATTAATGTGTGTGTGTGTGTGCGTGCGTGCGTGCGTGCGTGCGTGCGTGCGTGCATGCATGTGGTGGACTGGTGTATGCATGTTGATAGGTATGTGTGTAGGTGCACAGCTGTGTGTGTGGTGGCAGCAGATGGTGTGCATGCATGCATGTGTGGATGGGTTGGAGGATGTCTTATCGCTCAAAAAAAGCTTTAGATACTGCAGCCTAACTAAACTTAGTCTCAGTATTATTCGATACACTGCTCTACTGAGTCTTAGAAAACCTGGTAGAAGGTTGCGTCAGCTAACCTTTGAGCGACCCATGACCGTCCAATCAAACGTGAGACGGACGAACGGTTTTAACCAATCAGACAACGACTACTTGTTAGGGTTTCGGCGGAACTTACAAAACGGTTTTTGGATTTTCTGTTGCCTGGTCGCTGACATTGATCTATCAACAAACGAAAATCTGCATAAAACACAGATATTTGACCTGCAGTATATACGCTTAGGGTTTTTTGATGACATGGTTACTATTTAAGAAATACAGTTTGCTCTACCACCATGTATAGTGTAATAAAGCACACTTTTGCCCTGAACTATTATAGTTAAAGCACGAGGACGTGTCCGAGTGCTTTAACGTTATAATAGTTCAGGACAAAAGTGTGCTTTATTACACTATACATGGTGGAAGAGCTTAACTGTATTTCTTTCTAAGATAACAAATTTGTTCGTTTACGAGGGGGCAGACTAGAATGGCATTACATTGTGACGTAATGCAAAAAGTGAACATTATCGTCTGATAAAGTACTGTCGGCGCCTTTGATCTTTCACCGAAGCATCTTAGAATAGCTTATATTTCCGCAAGATGACATCCTTGAATATTGACAAAAACACTATTTTCAGCGATTGTTTACTCATTGCGTCCTCCATGTGTATCACTCGGAAGCGATCGTGCGGAAAATAACATTCGGAATTGTTCGAGGTAAAGGTTCAGACAGTATGTGCGAATGTGAACTTTTGCGATTTTGTAAGCTGTGTTCTGATTGGTCATTTCAAAAGATTACCTGACGCGACCTTCTACTACTAGGTTTTGTTAGACTCAGTATAGCAGTGTAACGAATAATACTGAGCCTAAGTTTACTTAGACTGTAGATACTGTTGCCTTGTACTTTCTCTGTATGTCTTAAAAGATGCATCAGAGTCTATAGGCAATTTTTGATTGGAAATGACAGCAGTGTAAGTAGTTTTGTTCCATCAGGTCAATATGCTAAGTAAAGTTTTCACACTGGGCTTTTTAATATGCATATGCAAGATGCATCACATCCATATTGTATCAATCCAAAAGCTGCCTATTGATCTTTTGACATTATGGTATTGCCATCGCAAAACTATTATAACACCAAAAATGAAATCGCTGGTGAATTGGTTTAGTTCAGACCTTGTACTGACCGCATGAAAGTTGTTCATTATTCATTGTTCATCAATCACTGGTTCGTATAGCCCATACTTGATTTTTAGAAAATGCCAGGATATTGATGAGTGGGGTTTTCAAGAACCAACAAATGACACAATCAAACATAGAAAGGCTGTTTTGAAATTAAACACAGAATTAGTTCAAGGTGCTCTAAAAGTTTTGACCATGATGACCATGCCTAAAAGGCTCCAAAGATTCAAATACTACAGGAACCAACCTCTTTCCTGAGTCTCCATTTCAAACCCTGCTACGCTGTGTCTGTTTCAGTGAGCAGGAGACAATCATCTCTGTTATAAAGAACCTAGGGGGCTTCCTAATGCAGGACGACGTCTGTGAGACAACCACCCATGTCGTGTACGGGGAATCCAGACGCACTCTCAACCTTCTGGCAGCCATTGCTCGGGGCTGCTGGCTTCTCCACAAAGAGTGGGTGGGTAGAGCAGGCGTAACATACTTCCCATCCCTGGACCTTTATCACAAGTACACCTTGGGAAACGTAGACTTTTTTCACTAAAATATGAAGTGACATCGTCTAAAGTACGACAATTGCTGTGCATAGTTGCATCTCAAGGCTTGATGCTTGTCAGAGCATTCAGATAATGGGTTCGAATCTAGATTCACTTGATCATGTTTCATGGTTTGTCAGCAGCACACATGCAGTGTTCACTTAATAGTGTTTCAAAGTCACAGGACATTGGATCCTGTAAGTTTCAGATGTCTGTCTGACCCATTGAAAATGCACAGGACCCATGGAATAAAATTAAACACACATTTCAGATTTAATATTTCTTATAATTGACATTGAAATTATTAACAAACATAAGATTTATAAGAGGGTCAGACGCTATTCGTGAACACTGCACTATGCTTGTGGTCTGTTTGAGTGGCAGTTTAGAAGTTGGTGAGCAACAATGAAGTCGATATACTTCATTGAGCATATTGAAGCAGTATAAGAATCAAACCTGAAATACTGCATCAATCAAGTTGTCATCCATCAAAGTATCTTGCTTTAATTGTCTGCACATTGGTTCATCAAAATAGCACAAATTAAATGCTTGTGTAACTATGGGACTTCCTCCAATAATTTGAGATGCTGTGATATGACTGAAATACTGTTGAAAATGGCATCATACCAAATTTTATCCACTCACTCTAGACTGGAATAGTGGCAGCAATCAACAAATGAAACAAAAGCAATCAGGTGAGGTGCATGACATTTCCTCCAATATACACCTGGGACGATGGGGTAGCCTAGTAGTTAAAGCGTTGACTTGCTACACCGAAACCCGGTTTTAATTCCCCACATGGGTACAATGTGTGAAGACCATTTTCTGAGGTGTGTTCAGAACCGTGAGTGCTCGCATCGGCCTTGAATGGACGCGAGCGCTTGGTTACATTAAACCATTCGAAACCAACTCCTGTTATTCTGGGACAAGCCGAATAGCTTCTTGTCTTCTTGTTGGAGGCTACGGAAAGGGGCGAGTGGTGATGAATGACATTAAACATGGTCGCCATCTTTGTTTGCTTGGCTAGGCAGCTGTGAGGATGGTTCGCGGGCACAGGCGTTTGAGGGCACTTGCGGTTCTGAACACGCCTCTGGTGTCCCCTGCCGTGATATTGCTGAAATATTGCTAAAGCAACGTAAAGCTAAACTCACTCACTCCGATAAACACCTGGATTTGTGAGATGAAACTGATCAGTCACCTGAAGCTAGGGCATTGTTCTGATTGTGTGTCCAATATGTAGTATTACTGTTGCAGGTATTCAAGTCTGTGGAGGCGGGTCACTGGGTGGATGAGGAACCGTATGAATGCTGCGCCAAGTTCCCACAGGCCAAGGTTCGTAGCTGCAGGAGTGGAAGATGGTTCCCTTTATGTTTCTGCACAGTATATCTGAAAGTTCTAATGATAACTCTTTTCTCCATGCATTATTTCTCCATGTATTGGTATAATGATTACTTTCTTTTCTTAATGATGATAAAACCCAGTTTGCTCACTGACTGACTCACTTTTTCACTTTTTCACTTTCACTCAATCCAGGTGGCCAGACAGGAACGTCAATTCCAGGGAGACGAGTACAAACAGACTTTATTCAGTAGCTGTGGACAGATGTTTGTCAGCAGTAAATGTGTGCCCTCTAGGGGCTCTCTGGTCAACCTCCTCACCCTGTGTGGGGGACAGGTATGTACCTGACTGTCTACAGTAAATGTGTACCCTCTAGGGGCTCTCTGGTCAACCTCCTCACCCTGTGAGGGGGACAGGTATGTACCTGACTGTCTACAGTAAATGGGTGCCCTCTAGGGGCTCTCTGGTCAACCTCCTCACCCTGTGTGGGGGACAGGTATGTACCTGACTGTCTACAGTAAATGTGTGCCCTCTAGGGGCTCTCTGGTCAACCTCCTCACCGTGTGTGGGGGACAGCTATGTACCTGACTGTCTACAGTAAATGTGTGCCCTCTAAGGGCTCTCTGGTCAACCTCCTCACCCTGTGTGGGGGACAGCTATGTACCTGACTGTCTACAGTAAATGTGTGCCCCTGGGGGCTCTCTGGTCAACCTCCTCACCCTGTGTGGGGGACAGGTATGTACCTGACTGTCTACAGTAAATGTGTGCCCCTGGGGGCTCTCTGGTCAACCTCCTCACCCTGTGTGGGGACAGGTATGTACCTGACTGTCTACAGTAAATGTGTGCCCCTGGGGGTCTCTCTGGTCAACCTCCTCACCCTGTGTGGGGACAGGTATGTACCTGACTGTCTACAGTAAATGTGTGCCCCTGGGGGCTCTCTGGTCAACCTCCTCACCCTGTGTGGGGGACAGGTATGTACCTAACTGTCTACAGTAAATGTGTGCCCCTGGGGGCTCTCTGGTCAACCTCCTCACCCTGTGTGGGGGACAGCTATGTACCTGACTGTCTACAGTAAGTGTGTGCCCCTGGGGGCTCTCTGGTCAACCTCCTCACCCTGTGTGGGGGACAGGTATGTACCTGACTGTCTACAGTAAATGTGTGCCCCTGGGGGCTCTCTCGTCAACCTCCCCTCCCTGTGTGGGGGACAGCTATGTACCTGACTGTCTACAGTAAGTGTGTGCCCCTGGGGGCTCTCTGGTCAACCTCCTCACCCTGTGTGGGGGACAGGTATGTACCTGACTGTCTACAGTAAATGTGTGCCCCGGGTTGGTTTGTTGTTTAACTCTGCACTCAGCAATATTCCAGCTATATGGTGGACGTCTGTAAATAATCGAGTCTGAACCAGACAATCCATTGATCAACAGCATGAGCATTGATCTGTGCAACTGGGATATGATGACATGTGCAAACCAAGTCAGCAAGACTGATCACCCGATCCTGTTAGTTGCCTTTTACGACAAGCATGGGTTGCTGAAGGCCAATTCTACCGCCCTCTAGAAGTTGATATACTGACCTGTTGCAGTTCCGATACCTATAGCGCATAATGTCCACAATATTTCTGTGTTTGCCGTTGCAGGTGACGAATTCTGTGTCTCGGTGCAGTGTGTACATCGGTCCTGAGCCCTATACTGGAAGGAAGAGCGTCAAGCCTGTGTGGATACTGGGTGAGATGATGTTGACATGCACAAAGCAATCAAGTGTTTTTCCTCAATTCCAGATTTTAAGAATCCCAAGGTTACCATCCTTCTGTTTTTAAACCAGCAAATGAAAGAAGACAACCAGAGACTCAAATAACAGAGTAATTAATTCTAAATGCCAACAAGAAAAGTGTTGAAAGTTCTCTCAAAGCTGAATGATCTCTGGGCTCTGAAGGTGGAAAACATGGCAGTCACCCTAACGGAAAGATAACTCTATCAAGCACTAAAATCTTTAATGCAGAAAACATACCTGAAGTTGGAAAGAGGAAAAAGAGGCATTAACCTGCTAGGTTTAAAATGACCTACACTACAATATGATACATTTATTTATTTAATTTTCTTTAAGTTTTGTCTAATTGAATACTATGGGTCTTCTGATAAGACATGTTTTTCCTGTGGGTAGCTCATTTGTACGTTGTATGAGGCTTTACAATTCTCTGTGCAGAGCTGTATGATCATGTATTTGATACCTGGTTCACTCCTATGATGGTCCATGGTTTGTGGGCACCATACCCATGTGTTTTATAACCTTCAAATTGATACCTTTGGCTTTAAATATAAACTGGCTGTTCCCTGTATAAGCTTCTGTAAGGACATCCCTGGTTTGCCCCCCAGATTGTGTGATGGAGCAGAAGCTGCTGCCCTACGACCAGTACCTCCTGCCTCCCACCATCAAGCGAGAGAGCAGCCCGGAGTTCTGAACACACTACAACTACCTCACGAAGTACTCGACTATATTCCTGCTCAGGGAACATCAGGTCAATTTTAAAATCACATAGAGAATTCATTATTCAGCTGCTATAACTATGCTTTGAGATAATAAGACTTATCCTGGGATTTCTCTTGCCAGGTATGACCTGGTTGTGGCCTTGGTTCTACTGATGATCCCTGAATTTGATATTTGATGGTGAATTTGGGAGGGTTTGTGGCCTACATGAATTGCTCAAATTAACTGTTTGCCATGTTCACCTTTGTTTATTAAAACAAAACAAATGACCTTGATATTCCTTTCACATTAAGCCCTGCCCAGATATGACCAGATTACTAGGGCTGCAACAATTCACCCAGGCCTCGATTTGATTTCGTTTTCGATATTGGACCCTTGATTTTATCATTTTCGATTCAATTCTTCATACAAGTAAAAACATTAGATTTCATTTAACTCTCAGAGTCTGCTTTTTTAGCGTGAATTCCATTGTCTACTTGGCGATGTCTACTAACAACAATTCTCATTGGATAATTAGCCCGTCGTCAACCAATCATGTTTCGCCTTATTTCAGTGAAGCAAACTGCTCGAGTTGGAGTCAAAATTACATTCTGGCAGTGTGGAAATAATTTAAATAGGTATTCAAATATCGAACCCAAATAGTGATAATGGTTATCGAAAATAAGGTGTCAGATTCAATTTTTGATGAATCGAACCGAATTGTTGCAGCCCTAAAATTGCCAGTTTCGTTCCTACTTAAGTACCTTGGCGGTCATTTCAGTATCTCTGTGATGCGACGTATTATCACTGATAATGTGAATCTATCAGTATTTGATAGGTCAGTTTTGAAAATCCACAAATCAATGCCCCAATGTATATATTGTTGTGATTGTTACACAGGGGCTTGTAACACACAAAAACTGGCATCGAGGTATATATTGTTGTGATTGTTACACAGGGGCTTGTAACACACAAAAACTGGCATCAAGGTATATACTGTCACTGATGGAGCATCAGCACATATAAATGGTCTATGCACCCTTTTCCTTTTATATAGTGCTAAGCCTCATCAGTGACAGTTTTACCTTGGTGCCAGTTTTTCATGTTACAAGACTCAGAACATATGCCATTTCTAAAATGAATTCAAGCAGGATTTTTCATTTAGCTAACAAAATTCATTGTTAAAATAATTACTGATGAGTGTGCATTACTTTCCTACTGGGAAGTTTCATGTTTCTGAGCAAAGCATTCTCCATACCGGTATAACCCAAACAAGGTGCATGGTTGCTGGAGGTATTAAGATACACTCTCTTGGTCCATCTACATGTATTTGGTAATTGACTTTCTCTCATGATTTTGGGGTCCTCAGGTAACTTCTGTATGAACAACAAATGTAATAGGAAGTATGGTAAAGCTCAGAGTTACATGTAGGAATAATTTCATTTGTGACACAACTTATCAACTGGAAAGGAAAAGTTGAAATGAACGGTCAGATTTAACGTGCATGTTACTTTCCATGGCCATAAATGAATTGGTTTCAGCAGTATCTGTTGATTATTTGGATCCACTGTCAGTTTGTATGAGTGTAGGAACTAATTGTTTGTATCTTGTAAAACCCACAAATTGCAACAAAATTTATCATTTATAGACCTTAGTCAAATATTTACAATTATTTTTAAACTAGCTACTTTTTTACTGAGGTGATCCGTTATTAATTGTATATGATCAAGGTACCATTTTCTGTCTGTGTACAAAGCTGTAATGTGGGAATGTCTCCTTATGTTGCAGTGTGACTATTTCTTAGATGTGGATGTATTTCATGTTGAACATGTTTGACCTTGTGATGATCTGATGCCTGAAGTATTGTGATATTGCATTTACTTGATAACCTAGTAAATATACTCCATGAAATCTGTGTTCCTGAATTAACCTTTGTTTGACATCAGGCATTCTTTACAGACACTTTTGTACAAAGTACTTTGAGGAAACACAAATGTTCATGTGATCAACTTGGTATTTTGATTTGAAATGTTTACTTGCTAATGGTATTTGTATTTTAGTCATAAATGTTATTAATGAAATCATCATGATAATGAAGTATATTTGTTCTACCGTTTTGGTATGACAAGTCAATTTATGAAACATAAATAAAGCATAATCGTCAGGAGAATAATCTTGCCTTATCTTATAAAACGTTGTCCATCAAGTCCCATACAGAATGATTGTTGATTAATGACACATACTTCTATGGTTGCACTTTGTGGAGAGTTTTGCCATGGAGTTTCATCAAAGTTGTATATTACATGTATATCTAATATGCTGATATGCTTTTCAAGGTGGTATTAAACCTCACTCACTCAATCCTACTCCATGATTCATCTGATCCTTTCAACATGATGTTCTGAATCCTGTGAAGGTCACTGCACAAATGTGAACTCAACCGATGAAAACATCATCAAACTGTTTTCAGTCGTTCTCCCATGAGGGGCAAATCATTTATTGTAGGAGCACCAGGTCACATATCTGCTGCATCAAACACTCCACTGCATTAATCTACCTTGGGTTACAACAGGCATCAACCAGGCCAGCGAGTCTGACCACCCAATACTCTCAGTCTACTCTTACAACAAGCATGGGTTGCTGAAGATCACTTGTAACCCAAATGTTTTCTGATCCACTGCAGTACAGAACAAACGAAGAGAAACAAACATCACCTGGGGTGCGATGTCGCCAAGGATAACATGACACTGAGCCCCTTGATCCCATGAGATCAGTTTCTACACGTACAAGTTAACAAGTATCCATCCAGTGATAACACAACACGGTCACAAATCAGTTTATCAGTCATAATAAATAAAGATATATGTACAACATGTTAGATAATAATACAAACTTGAGCATTCTATACAATACTGATTTTCAACAACAAAACTGTCTAAAAAACAAGTTCTGGTGCTGTTTTCAGAATGATCTCTCCAACGCCTATATTCAGTTGACCATCAATTGCCACTGTGAGAGACAGCCATTACCTAGTCATAAAGTGAGCGCAGGGGTTGAAAACAGCACTTTCCAAAAATTTCACTTTTAAGAAAAATAAATAGCTTTTTCACTGTACCCTACATGGGTACAATGTGTGAATCCTATATCTGCCCATATATAGGCTGTGATATTGATGAAATATTCCCTAAACATGGCGTAAAACCTCCCCACTCTTCCAATCACTGCAGTTGGTGAGTCTTGTCATGGCTTGGATGAGTCCGGATGATCCCTCTTCCTATATGTACGGGCCCTTCTCATTAAACCTCTGCAACAAAAGACCAGGGGTTTTAATTTCTGAGTATCACAAAATGTAAGCAGATAGTAAGTGTAATAATAAAGCATTTATCAAATCACGTCAAACATTTTTATACTTGCAATTTGAATACAATCATAAACTTCATTAGATGTAACGGTTATGAAAAGAAACATTATGATCTGAACTTGCCCATTGCATTGGTGCTGTGTCCTGTGTTTTTTGTCTTTTCACAGATTCTTCTTTGAGACCTCAATAAAAGGAAAATATTTGAGGTCATAAAAAGTTTCAATACTTTAAACGACAACCCCCTTTTATGTTTTGTATTGTCAACTAAAAAAAGTCACACATTTACTGTATAGTATAGCAGTACTGATCAAATTCACCGCCTCAGTGGTGTAGTGGTTAGAGCGTCTGCCCGGAGAGCAGAAGGTCACGGGTTCGATCCCCAACCGTGTCCTACCAAAAGACGTTAAAATATGGTACTTGTTGGTCCCTGCCTGACGCTCGGCATTACTAGGTACAACAAGGACTCACCACTCACCTGTGTTGTACCCCTCCTCCCATGCATATAGAGCCAGCAGACAGTCTATGGATGTTGCCCTACACTCACTCAACCACTCACCTGTGTTGTACCCCTGCTCCCATGCATATAGAGCCAGCAGACAGTCTATGGATGTTGCCCTACACTCACTCAACCACTCACCTGTGTTGTACCCCTCCTCCCATGCATATAGAGCCAGCAGACAGTCTATGGATGTTGCCCTACACTCACTCAACCACTCACCTGTGTTGTACCCCTGCTCCCATGCATATAGAGCCAGCAGACAGTCTATGGATGTTGCCCTACACTCACTCAACCACTCACCTGTGTTGTACCCCTCCTCCCATGCATATAGAGCCAGCAGACAGTCTATGGATGTTGCCCTACACTCACACAACCACTCACCTGGGACCGTCTCTGTGGTGTAGTGGTTAGAGTGTCCGCCAGAAGAGCAGAAGGTCAGGGGTTCAATCCCCGTTCGCGTCATACCAAAAGACATTAAAATATAGTACTTGTTGGTCCCTGCCTGTATCTCGGCATTAATGGGTACAACAAGGACTGGTTGGCAAGGAGTCAGTATAATGTGTCTGAGTAGGGTATTCATGCTAAACTGGGGCATGGTATCTTAGTGAGCTAGCACTATGAAACCAGCTTACGTCTGGGCTAGTACACACAAACACACATGCACATCATCATGTAGTTGCCCTACTCTTACCAACCACTCACCTCTGCTGCGCCCCTGCTCCGGTGCTTGGAGGGCCAGCAGACAGTCTATGAAAGTTGCCCTACTCTTACTCAACCACTCACCTGTGCTGCGCCCCTGCTCCAGGGCTTCGAGGGCCAGAAGTCAGTCTATGAAAGTTGCCCTACTCTTACTCAACCACACACCTGTGCTGCGTCCCTGCTCCAGGGCTTGGAGGGCCAGCAGACAGTCTATGAAAGTTGCCCTACTCTTACTCAACCACTCACCTGTGCTGCGCCCCTGCTCCAGTGCTTGGAGGGCCAGCAGACAGTCTATGAAAGTTGCCCTACTCTTACTCAACCACTCACCTGTGCTGCGCCCCTGCTCCAGTGCTTGGAGGGCCAGCAGACAGTCTATGAAAGTTGCCCTACTCTTACTCAACCACTCACCTGTGCTGCGCCCCTGCTCCAGGGCTTGGAGGGCCAGAAGACAGTCTATGAAAGTTGCCCTACTCTTACTCAACCACACACCTGTGCTGCATCCCTGCTCCAGGGCTTGGAGGGCCAGCAGACAGTCTATGAAAGTTGCCCTACTCTTACTCAACCACACACCTGTGCTGCATCCCTGCTCCAGGGCTTGGAGGGCCAGCAGACAGTCTATGAAAGTTGCCCTACTCTTACACAAGGTCACCTGTGCTGCTCTGCTCCAGGGCTTGGAGGGCCAGCAGACAGTCTATGAAAGTTGCCCTACAGGTATGGTCGCCACACGGCACTGGGTACTTGGTATCCTGACAACATGAAGGGTTGAAATAATCCTCACTACATATATTCCTCAATGAGGATCACCACCATAAGGATTCAAGATCAGACCAGGTCCCCAATAGCTTTTGCTTCGAGCTCTGAGATAATAGCTGATCATTTTTCTATACCATGGGCCACTGATTATACCAGAGCCACAGGTTTACCATGCCTGGGTTTGTTACAATACAGATAGCAGGAATAGGTTGACTGGCATGTTTGTTACTAATCAGAATATTCCACAACCCAAAAAGCTAGAAACACATTTTTATCAGATACAGTTCAAGCTGGTCTGTGTTTTTGTATAAAAAAACACAAACTATCCCTTCACTTTTCTTAAGAAGATGAAGATCCTCAAAGTCAATTACATGTGCATTTCTGTGTAAGGTAAATGCGACTCACAGTGCAAGGTCCCTTGAAGTCACTCCCAACACACCTGGAGACGAGGTTAAAGCCATAGGGGGTCCTGAAACATGGATTGGGGGAGAAGATGAGAGAAACATAAGTCAACTGTACCTGATGAGGCACAAGGTAACACTGACTTCGAAGTTTTGCCTGAATACATGAAGCGTAAAATCACAACTGATAATTGCTGAGGCATTTCTGACTGAAGTGTCATAAAATCATGACAAAGACTAGAAATAAGTTTTGTTCTTAATGAATACTTTCCTTACTTTGCATCTGACTTGCAATGTCCAAAGTCATCCACTGTCCTCTTGAAGTTCATCAACATTGCCATCACCTTTATGTTCAGCGAGACATGTTAGGGACATCAATGAAGAATTGGCTTCTCTTGATAACCCCATCCACCCCAGTTTAATACAACACTTTGGGATGCCCCCACTATAATCATTTTCAAATGTTAAATCATGCCAAGACATGTAAGTACCACCATGATCATTTTTTAATACTACATAACAGCAAAAACATGTAAATACCTCATTTACAATATTCTCTCAAAAAGAAAACAACAGTGGGTAAAACAACCAACTTGCAAGCTCTGTTTGTCTGTCTCACATGAATACGTTTCTTGCATATGAAAGCTTATTTGAAGTCAGACATAGGTCCTGAGCCTTGAAATGTGTGAGCAGAGCCTTCTAAGGTATTAACTCTGACAGGTGAAGTATTGAATGCACCAGAGTTGACCACTCACCTGGTACGCTGCTGAGGACATCTTGTTGAATGTGAGATCGCAGCTGTCATAGTCAATGTATTCCAGCCTCCCTGCCCTAAACACTGCAATACAGACAAGCATGGAGTACCTTGAAGCATGCTACAGGACTTTTCAACTATTTGTGGCAATAAGTCTTCCTACAAAGCAAATAGCAAAATCAAAGTATTTATGACACAGCCATGTGTCTTTTAGTCAACTGTGTGTACAAGAATAAATTACTAGTATTAAGGAACCATTCATAATTTATGGCTAGTGGGGTTGATGATGATTTTTATGGAGAAGCATGTACAATGTGAATGTCCCCCCCTCCCCCCTAAAATTTATGTACAAAGTAAGAGACAACCCCCTCCCCTGCGTGTCATGTACAAAAATCAATAACCCCCTCTGATAATTTTTAAGCATAACTTTTAATACTTATATGTACAAAATTGCTGAGCCCGTCTACCTCCCCAGAACAAAATGGGTGAAAGCCCCACCCACCTACCCCCACCCCTTAAAACCATCACCATCACCACCCCACCCCCTAGCCATAAATTATGATCAGTCCCTAACAAGCATGATAAAGCTTGAATATTGTAAAGCAACATTTCCCTTCACCTCACAAATTTTATTACAGAACAGGAACTATTTTATCAAGGGCCCATATTTGGCTGGTACCTTTTCCCTTCTTAGGTGATGTGCTGGACAAATAAAATGACAACTCCCTCTTTCAGTGGACCTTTTCTAGGGTTTAGAATTAAGGGAACCAAGGACACGTTGTCCTGAGAATAATCTGAGTTATGCATTCATGTTGAACTGTGCCCTATTTCAGGTGGCTGGTGCTACAGTCCAGACTAGCACAAGCTGACACATACATGTGCAGATCACTAGGTACATGGAACAATCTTGAACATGACAAGAAACTGATTTCACCTCTTCTTGACTACAAACAAAATGATGGAAGGTTTGCTTCCTTATTGAATAGATAGTGGCATCAGTCATCTGTGTCTCGGTCTTACCGATATTCCATGGTGCCATGTCTTCAAATAGTGGCAGCTGGAGAAACTCGGAGTAAAACCTCTCCTTGATGGGAGAGACAAGACCCATCCTCAACAGTGCAATGAGAGACACAGCTGGAATTGAACAGATCAAGTACAATGGAGGGGTGTGTCACATATTTACCTTCAGTGGAAGTCTGAGATAAAGTCAGATCAAAATTAGCTCAAGATTCATCATATGCATTCATCATATAAGCTTTCAACTACATTTCCTCAAACAGTTTCATTGTCCAACAATGGATAGTCATGTTTATGTCATAATTGAATATAATTGGTGGTTGTTGTGAGCAGAAACGCATCTATTCAGAGAAGAGACTCTAAGACACCCATTCTGTTTGAGGATGTAATTCCGAATGCACATGATCATATAGAAACAAGCTCTCATGACTCCTTTTGACTTGTAAACAAAATTGAAAATGGTGGACATAAGTCTCCCATGTATTTTGAATGGATGGGACTTGGTTTTAAGTTGGATATGGTCCTCAATATTTCTGCATGACTTTAGGTAAATCTCTTCACATACAGTGGGTTAATGAGTGCATACTTTTGTTGTTCCTGGTGTCCAAATGTAAACTCTAAAAGAAGGAATTGTAAGAGGAGAACACTGCAATCAGTCACACCCCAATCCTTCTCTTTCATATCAACACTTGTTAACCCCTGGAGTAAGCCCGAGCTACAGTAATCCTTGAAATATGAATACTGACGATGAATCAGCTAATAACTACTGCTGGTGACAGCATTGTCTATTTCCTAATTTATCGATCAAAACACTGTCAGTTTTGTTTTTTCAAAATAAGAGAAAAACATACTAAGTTTTAAGAGTTTTAAAAGTTTTTGTCGATTGGAAAACACTATACTGAATTTGGAACAGCAAATGCTGTTTGATCATCTTCCCATTGTGAAGCATATCACCAAATGATTACTGGGGTTTTTTTGCATTAAACTGCAGAAATTCTGCCCCATCATGACTGAGACTACAATAAACTCAACAATTCACAAGGCAGTATGCTGATCGCAGCTACAGCTAGGGATTATTCTAATGAACCACTAAATTAAAGAAATCTGTCCTAAATGACTTTCACTAAAATATTATGCAACCATGGTTACAAACAAACATAAAAACCTGTGACTTGTATATCATAAAGATATAAATATCAAATCTATTGATTTTTGAGCCTATAACACTGGCAAATACAAACCATTGACAGTGCCATATGGTATTTTGAAGCCATCAGTATTGCGGACGAGGTAGACAGTGTAGCTGGAGCTGTTGTGGCCGATACAGTGTAGTGTGTACTTCCTGGAGTGGCCATCCAGGTTGTAGTCAAAGTGGTGATCCACCTGAAGCAAACAAAGCCATTCCTCTGTCACCTGTTGATTATAGTCTGTGCTACCTTACAATTACAGGACACAACTCTGCACAATCTGTACTTGACTACAGATAAGGGACACAACTCTGCACAGTCTGTACTTGACTACAGTTAAGGGACAGAACTCTGCACAGTCTGTACTTGACTACAGATAAGGGACACAACTCTGCACAGTCTGTGTTCCATTCTCCTACCCAGAGTTCCATGCGACCAGCATAGTACCTCATAAGGGACACAACTAATGCACACCTCTGCCACAGGCCAGAGCACAAGATGTGACGATTCCTCACATCTTGCACAGTCCATTCAATAAATTGAATATATTTCGTAACACTTTCATTTTTGACGAGTCTACACATCTACTTAATCTTCTTTGATAGAATGGTTTAGTTTCATGGTGAAAATATCCAAAATGTGCAACACTATTTCGATTGGCGTAGCGATCCTTTGTTTACATAGGTTATGCTGTTCCACGTGCTGTCATCGAAGCTCTATTCAGAGCAATCGATGGAGTAACTTTGATGCTTAACTATGTATTGTCATGAATCTGACTGTCGCAGTTGTAGAAGAATATCTACATAACAATGTAAAACAATATGAAGAGAGCACCGAAAAGCTTGCATAAGGTCAGTCTCTCCTGATTTACGCATATGTGCGTTTCTTTACCAACAAAAGAAAAGTCTCGTCATGTGATATGCAATTAGCCTGTGGCAGTGACGTTATGCTAAGTCATCACTGCGCTGGAGTGTGTCTGTGTTCGATTTCAGATAAGGGACACAACTCTACACAATCTGTGTTTGATTTCAGACAGGGGACACAACTCTGCAGCGTCTGTGTTCGATTTCAGACAGGGGACACAACTCTGCAGCGTCTGTGTTCGATTTCAGATAAGGGACACAACTCTTCAAAGTTCATTCATGCTTGCTGACAGTTGACGAACCATCCTCAGCTACCAAGCGTAATATTACTGTTCCATTAGGATAAATTCACCACTAGACAGTGCACACTACTGAATTCTCACCTCCAACTTCAGTCGCTTGATGTCAACTCTAACCAGTTTCCATGGCAACTGAGCTCCATCAGAAAGAGCCTGAGGTGAGAGGACGTTGGCAGCTACCTCGATATCAACATCAGCCTTGGCACTCTGTAAAGCAAGGTACTACATTCACTGACCAAGTTCAGCTACATGTGAATATATACTGGGATGTGCTACCTAATACTGGCTTTCACAACAGATACCCTAATCACTGTATGATATTTGTACAGATCTCCAGGTTGAAATTGTTTTTCTTCAAAATTTGGATTGGACGCATACTGTTTTCATGGGGAGATCCAGGAATTTTGAAGTGTGTGTGTGTGTGTGTGTGTGTGTGTGTGTGTGTGTGTGTGTGTATGTGTGTGTTTCAGGCGCGTGTGCCCCAAAATCTTCTGCCAATGCAAAAAATCTTCAATGTGGTCTTAAGTCATTCCTGGATCCGCCAATGGTTTTCCTGATCACTGACTGATCGATGAACTTAAAAGTCAACATGATATATAAACACTTACATTAAATCCTTGAGTTATACTACATTTATTCCAACAAAGTCACTAAACAATAGTGAAAATAACAAACTCTTTCGGAGAGTGAGTGTCACATCGACATTATTTTAGCCATATAGCGATTGACTGACAACTGTATATCACATTTTGCTGATCACTACTTTTTTGAACATATTTTTCATGCCCCCCTCCCTATGATAAATAACCTGTCACCAGTATAGCGAAACAAGACTATAAAGATGTTTAAACATGAATCAGAAGATAACTCATCCCTATCCCATCCCACCCCACCCCACCCCAATCTGATCTTTTTGTATGCACAAAGTGTCATGAAAGAATAAATATTAGTTTTAGAGATATGATCCTGTTAACATATGATTACAGATGGTTACTGTATCACCCCTTATTACACACTTGGGAGAGACAAAACACAACTTACCTGAAAAATTATAATGGACATCCTTGTGTCTTTTGGTATGAAATCTATCAGTAGCATCAAATTTGCTTCTTATATATTACATATTTTATTGCAAACCCCTGTCAGTTTTTGGTATCTGTGTATTCATTCACTCAGTTTTCCTTTTTACGAGTTTATCTGCATATATTTGCAGTTGCTGTAAACAATACAAGTAAGTTATTGTCAGTTTTCATTATATTCATGTAACCATCTATCTTCATTCCTTTATTCATACATTCATTATTGTTACTTAATACTTCATCAGTGTTTGTTCAGTCTGCACACAGTTGCAGTTATTCCATTCAACAGAATTCACCTCATCAATTTCAATTTTTTTTGTTTTTCAATTTGTCTACATACACCCAATCACTCCCGACTCACTTACCCACCCAACTCACACTCTCAAAACCCACTCACTCACTCACTCACTCTACTGTCTAATGTTTCTTACAGTAGAACCACCCATCAGCACTCCTACTCTCTCACTCACTCACATTTCTGTGTGACCTGCAAAGATCCGGGATAGAATTGATCTTCAGTAACCCATGCTTGTCGAAAGAGGCAACTAATGGGATCGTATCCCAATTGTGCAGATTGTCTGGTCCAGATTCAATTATTTACAGACCGCAACCATATATCTGGAATATTGATGAGTGCTGCGTAAAACTAAACTCACTCACTCACTCACATTTCTGTGTTTTTTAATTATTGTTGGTGGTTACCTTACTCAAAACAAATAAACCATGCCTCAAATTCTCAACTGAGTGGAAGTTTATGTTCCCTCCAGCTGAATGAGCTGGGTCATATTTCACAAAGCCAGCTACTTGACGCAGTGAAATAACTATTGTGGGACTAGCCCATTGTGGACAAGCTCCTACAGCACTGTCATGGAAGGGTGAGTTCATTATCTGGCATTCCTGAATCAGCCGGTGCACCTGGTTGTCAGGGGTTACCAGGTAAACAACCCACAACAAAGGACTATTCCACTTCCTTCAAGTCTAGAAGCTGTGTATAATGGGTCAATATGTCCATACATGATAGCTTAATGAGGTTATTTAAACACAAACAGAGGACAATAATCAATGACATATAGTTTGTGTACATGGAATGTACAACATTATAACACTAGACTTTCAAAACATAGCTGTCACAACTATCATCATTATAATTATTATTGCTATTATTGTCATTGCTACTATTATTATGATTATTGAATATAATTATTATTTTTCAAATTACTGTTTGGTTCCCACCATCATTATTCCTCTTAATTATGATTATTATTATATTATCATGAATAATCATATCATCATGACAGTTCTTGTAATCACTCAATGTATCAAATGTAAATTTGAGATATAAGTCTTCCTTTTACTTGCAACAAACAGGAAAAAACATATTTCATTTAAAATCATCACTTATCTTACTGCTAAATCTAAATTAGTTTTCTGTATATTCTCAATACATAATTTTTATTTTTTGTGTGTCATATCATAAGCAGATATAAACAAGTGACACATTTCTTGTGTAACAAACCTAAGTATGATGTATTATATACACCTGACGTGTTTCCCACAACACTGAGTCAGCAAAACTGTGTAGCTGACACCCCTCTTAAACCCGTTCTGCAAGTCCCAACCTCTCTCTCAACAAGCACCTGTTCCTCTCCAACCAGCAGACAGAACTTGTCCAGCAACTTTGTCCAAACAAGTTGCCAAAGCCTGGGAAATTTGGTATTGAACAAAATCAATAACAAATCAACCAATATTGATCATCTTGGAGCAGGTTTCTGCAGAGCTGGTCTGAAACAAGTTCTCACAGAGCTTCAACATGATCTGTGAGCCAGAGTGAGGCTGCCTCACTCTGACGTTCTGCCTGGTCGTAGTCCTAACATGCCTCAGCCGACTGATCACCAATATTGATAGGTCATCAAAGATCAATCACTGATTGGTATTGGAAATACTCAATCGCAGACGTGTCTGGGACTTGTTCTCAAGTGGACTCTACCAATATTGGTAGAGTCTATGTGCTACTGAGGGGTGGAAGGTTGTAATATGGAAACTTATTTGATCAGATTGATTTTGACTGTGAGACAAGACCTGCTTTGACATGAATGTTTGTCCTTTGTGTTAGCGTTGTTGACATGAGGGAAGCTGGATCTGAAGGATTACCACCATGAAATAAACAAATCAGGTTTGATACATCAGACAAATGTGACTATCTCAGCTGCCATATTTAGTAATTGTAAATTGTTAAATGATTTTTATATACCTATTTGTTTAAAAAGGGTTTATATGATATATATACTTACATACCTGTTTGGGTACTCAAGACATATTGAAAATGTGTTCTTTCTGCTTCACCAGTTTATGTATTTACACAATGTAATGTGGTGTGGGTGACAGGGAGTGTGGTGGGGAAAGGGGGCAGGCAGGCGCTTGTGGGTAAGGTTGGTTGGGAGGGGGTGAGGGTGGTGAGGAGTGAGGAGGGGGCATGTGTTTGGGGGTGAGGGTGGTGGGGAAGGGGTAGTCTTGTGTTTGGGGTTGAGGGTGGTGGGGGAAAGGGGTAGTCTTGTGTTTGGGGTGAGGGTGGTGGGGAAGGGGTAGTCTTGTATTTGGGGTGAGGGTGGGGGGAAGGGGTAGTCTTGTGTTTGGGGTGGTGGTGGTGGGGAAGGGGGTAGTCTTGTGTTTGGGGTTGAGGGTGGTGGGGAAAGGGGGGTAGTCTTGTGTTTGGGGGTGAGGGTGGTGGGGAAGGGGTAGTCTTGTGTTTGGGGTGAGGGTGGGGGAAGGGGTAGTCTTTGTGTTTGGGTGGAGGTGGTGGTGGGGAAGGGGGTAGTCTTGTGTTTGGGGTTGAGGGTGGTGGGAAGGGAAGGGGTAGTCTTGTGTTTGGGGGTGAGGGTGGTGGGGAAGGGGTAGTCTTGTGTTTGGGGTTGAGGGTGGTGGGGAAGGGGTAGTCTTGTGTTTGGGATTGAGGGTGGTGGGGAAGGGGTAGTCTTGTGTTTGGGGGATGAGGTGGTGGGGAAGGGCTAGTCTTGTGTTTGGGGGTGAGGGTGGTGGGGAAGGGCTGAGTCTTGTGTTTGGGGGTGAGGTGGGTGGATAAGGAGTAATCTTGTGTTTGGGGAGTGAGGGTGGTGGGGAGGGGGTAATCTTGTATTTGGGGTTGAGGGTGGTGGATAAGGAGTAATCTTGTGTTTGGGGGTGAGGGTGGTGGGGAAAGGGCTAGTCTTGTGTTTGGGGGTGAGGGTGGTGGGGAAAGGGCTAGTCTTGTGTTTGGGGGGTGAGGGTGGTGGGGAAGGGCTAGTCTTGTGTTTGGGGGTGAGGTGGTGGGGGAAGGGGTAGTCTTGTGTTTGGGGGTGAGGGTGGTGGGGAAGGGCTAGTCTTGTGTTTGGGTAGGGGAGGGAGGTGGTGGGGAAGGGGCTAGTCTTGTGTTTGGGGGTGAGGTGGTGGGGAAGGGGTCTTGTGTTTGGGGGTGAGGGTGGTGGATAAGGAGTAGTCTTGTGTTTAGGGGGTGAGGGTGGTGGGGGAGGGGTAATCTTTTGTGTTTTGGGGTGAGGTGGGTGAGGAGGTAATAGTTTGATGCTTGAGGGTTGAGGAAATGTTGTGTACCTGAGACTGTTAAATCAACAGTTAACTGAACCTAGGCCTAAAAATTTCATATCTGAGAATTACATCACATCAAATAGACTCTCCTTGTATAACTTATTTCAGTACTTAAAAAGAGAACAAATATTTTTACTGCCACTGCTTTTGTGTAAACACACAAAATGGTGCCATGTGTGGCATATCTGTGCAAGCAAGCATTGCATAAAAATGACAACAGAAAACAAAACATGTTTTTATTGCCAACACTGGAACTGTTTCTGTTCTGGCGATGTGCTTCCTGTAGGATCGCTTTAGAGATAGGGATATTGTTAGCCTCAATTCTGAAGGTTTTTACAGAGGTTTGGCTTTACAGACATCGATATATCAGTAGTAATAATATATATTCCAAATAAAACCTCCTCAGGAAGGCATCATGTAGCTTTTCCTAGTTGGTGAACCTCAAACACACAGTTTGCTCGAAACGTGTGAGGAACTCTCAGTCTAGACGTGAACAAACAGGATATTTGGTTAAACGCAGTGCCAGGAACGAGTACAAAATGTCAGCTGAAATGCAAGTCCTGAACCTGTTAGCACACCAGTACCAGTACCAGTACATACAGTTGTGATTACAGATACCGACACCATGTAGGTTATTAAATGAAATAATATAACATCTATAACATAGAAATAATCATACATCCTTGGTAAACACAAGGGTTTTCTTCGGCAGATCGAGCAGTGTGGAACCTAAATCCACTCTCCACCACTCTTAATGTTCCTGCTCCCCACTCTCCCCCTCCACTTTCCACCTACATGCTCTCCCTCCACACCAAGCCAGCCAGTACCAGACTACCCTCCCAAGTCACGCTCTACTATCCCTGCTGACCATATCCCACCTCTCCACTGCCAGACTACCCCCTTCCCAATCCACTATCAACTCCCCTACCCTCACTTCGCCCACAACCACAGTCCCCCTTCTCAAACTCCACCCCTCAACCACCTGACAAGCTCTCTCCAGCATGTCCCCTCACCCTCAACCTCCAAACTAGCCCTTCACCCCTCCGCACACTACCACCCCCCTTTCCTAAAACCACACTACCTCACCACCCCACACTATCCGCTCACCTGGAACAGAAACTGGTTCTCAACGTTGCGGAACTGTGTTACTGGATGTCTGTCTGCTTGAAACAGTTGCTGAAACACAACAAGGATGAATAGCTACACAACAGCATGCTTGGTCATTACACTAGGCTAGCCACTAGGCTACCCCACCGCCCTGGTTCAGAGAAGAGATTGATAGTTCACAGACATTATTGGATAATAACATGCCATGCTTTTAGCTCACTTGAACATTTGTCCACAGCTAAACTGATTTAAGAATTTAGTATACAACAAAGTAAAGCGCAGTGTAGTCTGTCTCACAGTCCCTGAACCACATTATTTTCCCTACTGCCAAGCCTCTCTGCAGTGCTAAAACCCTAAATAAAGCAAGTCTAGATTTCCTCTGAATCTCTGGTCTCCCTGGGGCTCCTTTTCAATATAAATGGGCTTGTTTGTTACTATCAAAATTATATATATTCAGAGACTAAGCATTAGTCTAAGCACAGTGATACAGTTAGTCCTTGTCATAAATATTTGTCATATTTGGAATATAAATTTTTACTACAAATAATAAAACTGGACTGGCCTTTGATTCAGGGTCCTGACATAGTGATTTGGATATCGGTAGCATGGGGAAACAAATAAATATAACTAAGACCTTTTGCTATATACTCACTTTTGAAGTTGGCAGATATCCAAACCATGTACAGAAAAGCTTTTGACTTAGTCTGTGTTATTGCTTGGTTTACAGATTCACTGTTTAATGTTATCACATTGAGTTACCAGTTTAACATGAATACCCCACTCCGTACTGACTCAATCTCTGATATCCCATTCACGTTAAACACCAGGCAGGGAAACAACAAATAACATATTTTATTGACTTTTTCCACCAACCTGGGACTTTCTGCTCTCCATGCAGATTATCTTTCCACTAAGCCACAGAGCCCCTTGCCTAAAATATTCAGTCTAAAAAGATTAAGTTCTGTATCTAAATTGACTCACAGATTGGCTGATCTGCTGCTGATCTTGCTGCAGGAATTCCTCTGGGTAAAAAGTTGCTGTTGCCAGGGACAGAATCTGCAACAAAGTATAACTAAATAACTTTTGCTGTCCACTTTTCATTTGTGAACCCAGCTTAATCTATTACGTACACACTGGAGTAGGGATGTTGAATGATTTCACTGTAATCTCCATACCAGTTGATTACATGAACATAACTTATAAAACTTGTTTGCAAATTTAAGAGAAGCATTTGTCAGTTAACAGAAATAAGGTATACAGTTTGAGCAACAATTATATATAAGGAATCCCACTGCTGCTAGATTGTGTTGTGTAACACGGTAGTGACGTGAACTAGTGAAACTAGAGAGAACAGTTCCAACATGGATGCCTCCCAGTGCTGGCCAAGATATCCTATGGGGTGTGTTTATGCTATGTATATTGGAAGGAAAAGGCTATACATTTCAAAACTCAGTTCGAAAATTGTAAAACAATTTCAAGAAAGGGAAAAGAGGATACATACTTCCCTTGCATAGGAGACACAATGTGTATGAGAGAGTGACATCTTACTGTAGCAATCCCAGTGGTACAATGACCTGGATCACCCACATGGCTTCACACATTTACACTGATGGGAAGGGAACTTGAGGCAGAAACCAGCAAACATTTTAACCACGTTGCTTCTAGGGCCATTTTTCCATGAACTAAGCAAATATGACAGTTATACAGGTATATCTAGATATTACCTTGCCAGATGGCACCTGTATGAAGGACGTCACACCTGTAGCTATCACCTGTCCAATCAGGAGATCAAAGTTGGGCCGTATCACCCTCTTCATCAGCCCAAGAATCTCATCATAACCTGTCATATATATATATAAATCACACGACTTGGAACACACAGTCGGCATGGGAGTCTATGGGAAACACACAATACATACAGATCTCATGTTATGTCAGGGTCTACATGCACAGGTCAACTGTGTCCCAAACACTACAGAACCCAACAGAACTGACATGACCTTTCTTCCCCAAGTGAAAGGTTATTATTATTAATATTATTATTAATAATAAAAAATAAAAATATTGCCCATTTATAAAGGACCTGTTTCCACACGATTGTGCGTGCTCAAAGCGCTGATAATGTATTACCGGATAACCTAAGCTGCCTGTGATGCACTAGAAGGTTAACAGTCATATGACTTATCCCACCGGGTACCCATTCACTGGTGGGCAAACAGAGGCAATTCATGAACAAACTCACTTGCCTAAGGTGAGACCACATGTGCCAAGTGTGCTTGTTGTGGGGCAGGACTGAAGTCCCAGATACTCTCAGGAGTCAAACACGTTCACTCATCCAAGGACTGTCTGCGACCAACGTTGCTTTATGCACAGGACCACATACCACCACATCAATACTTGTTTTAAGTACAAATGATACAAAAGTTTTGTTAAGACTTCATGTTGACATGAGGTGGCTCAACTGAGCATGGCTCACCTAGATACTGGTATCGGAGGAAGTCCGGACACTTCATGAGTTTTGTCACCAGAGTGGAGTCCAGGGGCATGACATTTAGCACCAGGTTGGTGATGTTCCTCTCCTGCAGGCCCTGGAGGATGGTGTCGGCAGTATCGGAAGCTGACACCAGGCTCACGAACGTGCTGTTGGGGTACTGTAGTGCCAGCTGAACTCCAATATTGTCTGGTACAATGATATATAGAGAATAATACACAAGGTCTCATTGCATACGAATTATACGAAAAGAGTGTCCTTCCTATGGTATCTGACCGGCCGACACGGCAACGTTCAGAATGTTTACATTCCCACAATGCATATAAGTTGTAGAATGAATGAATTCATGTGTTTGTTATGAATGTGACCTAATTGAGAGGTTATCGTTTATCCAATCAAATCGTTAGAATCTCAGGCCAAGTCGTTACGACACGTCAACGCGATACGACACTCGTGTGACGTATGAGATTAGTATGCAACTACCCATACATTGACCACGTTGGTAATAAGTAAAATAATGTAATTATAACAGTCAGTCAGACTTCACTCAGGGAGCACTGGTCTGGTCTACACTGAGAGCAAAAGGTTTCATGTGAATGTTTTGGTAAATACTTAGGTGACACTATTGGCAATCACATCCTGTAACTGTCTCATCAACATTTTGTTTTCTTTCAATTCACTATATACTCAGAGAAGCCAATGGAAGATCTGATCAATATGTTTGTGCAGATCCAGTTGGAAGTTGTTGGAGTGAAGACACCCTGTAAGCAGCGCTCGAAATACCTGCCTCCAACACGGACTGCCAGATTCTCAAATTCACCTGCTCGACGGTTGGGATAAAATTTAGACATGTATATGAAGAATATAGAACAAACTTTATGGATAACGACTTCTCTTTATTCGTTATCACAAAGTTTGTTCTATAGTGTACTTCCCAAATTCTTAAATGCCACTCAAAGAAGTTATGTATATGAAGATATTCATCATATTTCAGGATAATAAAACATGATGGTGTGATAACAGCATTAAACACAATTCTGAAATAAACAGTTAATTCTTTTCTTGCATTGGTATTATTTTTTGTCTCAGTATTTTATAAGTTTTAATTGAATTATACTAAGTAGCTTAGTATTTTATGTCGGCAGGTAAGTTTTGGCCAGGGCTGGCAAGTATTAGTTCTAACCAGCCCTGTGGTCTGGCTGAAATTTTTGGGAGTTTCATGCCCTGCTGTAAGCCAACTTTTCCCAAAGGTTGTATGTAGTCTTGATATGTGCCTGTACACTTGAGGCCTGCTGGGTATGGGTTTAAATCTCACATTTATACCAGTTCTTATCAATCACTCACTCACTCACACATGCACCCCACTCACCTATGCTGTTGTAATCTAGGAAGGAGAAGGACTCTCTTTCCATCTCCTGGACCAGCAAGGCTGTTGTTCCCTTTAAACAGATATGATCATTCTTACAATGTCCCACACCCATGCAATTATAACACACAAATAATAAAATATGTTTATATCAACTATCAACCAATGTGATTCACTCAAGAAATGATTGATTGGTTTATTGCTTTACCCCGCACTCAGCAATATTCCAGCTATATGGTGGCGGCGGTCTGTAAATAATCGAGCCTGGACCAGACAATCCATTGATCAACATCATGAACATCAATCTGTGCAACAGGATACAGACAGACACACTTTTATTACCTTAAAAGGAATTCGTTTTGGATCACAGAGCTGGACTAAAATACAAATGAATAAAAAAATACAAAAATACAAAAATATGACGACATGTGTCAACCAAGTCAGCGAGCCTGACCACCCGATCCTGTTAGTCGCCTCTTACGACAAGCATGGGTTACTAAAGACCAATTCCAACCCGGATCTTCTAGGCTAAACTTTCCTCAGGGAAGTTTTGTCCTAGGATATTCTTACCCCGGGGAAGGTTTGGCCTGTTACACTGGATCTTCAAGGGTCACTTGAGGAATGAATAATTGATATGACAAGGTGTATGGCACAGGTAACGAAACAAGGTTTATCTTTCTTTGTAGTACAGTATTTTGCAGTGAGGAAGATGGGTATAAAAACCCTTTGAGTAAGAAGAATATAAGCAGCTGTATTTTCTTGATTTAGTCATGCATGAATGGAAAAAAATACTTGCCCATTGGGCAGTGGCAAGTAGAACCTTGGGCTAATAAAAACATAATCCTGTCAGCCCAAAGGACCTGTATGTCTTTTGACACGTGCTGTACAATTATCTATTATTGTCTCATATGTAATTGCTCTACATCTTTTTCGCAAAGTTCCATGCAACCGTTTCTAGTTTCAAACGAAAAAAGATGCACTACCCCTGTGGTCTTTTTTGGATTTGTATTTAAACTCCATCCTATCATGTAATTAACCCTGAATATGAGGAGGATTTCATCACCTAACAGAAATTTTTAAAACAAATATTACTTCCTCATGGACAATAGCAATGTCCATACCCCAGAAGGATGCTAACCCCATCTCCCACCTACAGTCTATGAACAATCCCAACCTGAGTTGTGGTACTAGACTTGAGGGCATAATAAATGGGCTTAATGGACACCTGACTGATATGTTATTACCGACAGAGTTGTCTCCCTTGCACTTCTCCCCCCCCGAGACTTACAGATAAGCTCTCGGAAAATGTTATGCTTAAAGGTTAAAATTATGAAACATTTTTTTTTAAATGCACTCAAGCAATGAGTTTCTGATGTTTAGAGCTGAAAGGGGAATGAGTTTGGGTTGGTAGAGCTGAGAAGGGGATAAGAATTGGAAGGGATAGTGGGTGATGTTTTTCTGGAGTCTTTAAAAGAGATAAATCTACCCACAGTGCAACACAGTACCTGTGTCATGTCGGACTCCCGGGTTCCCCCTTGTGTGTGGAGCAGCGCTGGTTTCACATCCTCCGTGACAGGCTGGTACATCAGCTGATGACCACCCCACACCAAGTGGGCGGGGCACATGTCTGGGTAGATGGGGAGCTCCAAGTACTTTTGGAACAGCATGGCCCTGTCAAGTGTGCACTCAAAATAAAGTTGACATCCATAAATTATTGCCTTTATTTTCATTATATTATGATTATGGCTTTGTCTCTGGCCCAAACCCTACAAAATCTTTGCATATTATACAGTGAACTACAATTGATAAGTTCTAGGCATATTTCAGTATGGATTATTGAACATCCTTCAAATATGAAGCCGATATGTACAATTTTAGCATAAGAAAAGGATGAGATTAAATGCGTAGCATTTGAATTTTTAAACTAACAAGTTGTAGACATAGACCTGAATGGTTTGTTTAGTTCACTGAGGTTTGAAGTAGAGTTTTAAGTTAAGCATTAAAGAATCAACTGGCTGACAGAAAATGAAGAGCCATAACACAAGCTTATTTCACAGGAGAGCTAAAAGTGTCACCTTTCCTGAGGTTGAGGTTCAAGTTTTAGAAGTAGGTCCAAACCGACAGACACTTTGTTACGTGAGACTGTGTAGAAAGTATCAACAGTTTCCATCTGGAGAGACACAGCGCCATCTGGGAGCAGGGTGAGGGTACCAGGAGTCTTATCACAGCCAATCTGCACCTGAAAAACACAACTTGTTCTGGAGTGAATGATTTCAGTTGGGATACAATGATACACAACCAAATCACCAAGTCTGACCACACCCTCAATTACATCGCCTCTTACAACTGGCATCAGTTGCTTCAGGTCAGTTAGGACTCCTATAGGAGAATCCCAGATCTCTCACTGAGCCTCTGCTGTAGTGGGGTAGCCTAGTGGTTAAAGCGTCTGCTAGTTACGTCACAGACCTGGGTTTGATTCCCCACATGAGTACAATGTGTGAAGCCCATTTCTGGTGTCCCTCGCTGTGATATTGCTGGAATATTGCTAAAAGCGGAATAAAACTAAAACCTCAGACACTCTGCTGTAGGGGAATCCCCAGTCCCTCACTGCACCAATGCTGTTGAGTAACCTACCTTCCTCTGCATGGACCTGAGTTTGATCCTGATGATGAGACTGTGGATCTCCTCCTGCACAACAACTCTCAGGGTCTGTAGGCTTTCTGCCTCGGCCCCCACAAGGGCAAGTGCATCCACTATCAGCCCCTAGGGAAGAAAACATGGGCTACACATGATCATCCTCAGCTATACATATCCATAAATTATCTACCACTCTAATATTTTACTGGAAGTAAGGAAGCAGTTTTGTTGCACATTGATTCAAGCATTTGCCTTGTCATTCCTGGGCTCTGGTTTGATTCCAACACGATAACAATTTTCTCATCTTAATGTTGCAATATTGCACAAATCACTTTAATCTTCCATCCCTTTCTCAGAAGTATTTGACAAACATAATTACCGAACTCCTGGTTTCATAAATTACTACTCTGAACTGTATACATGTTGTACTAGCTGGATTTAGATAATGATGTCTACTTGAAGTAACACAACTAGCCTGGGCTGGAACTGCTGATGTGTTGCCTCCGAGGATAACTTGGGCAAAGGTGAGCTGGTCAAAATGAGGAATCTCCAGGAATGTTGTCTCTGCCATTGTGAGAATCTGACCCAGGTAATATAGGTATGTATCACCCAGTGATAACATCTGATGGAATACATCCAGTCCCAGCACCTGCACAGAAAGTAATACCCAGGTAATATAGGTTGAGTAATGACTTTATTTGGTGCTGAGGCCACAGACCCATTATAGACGGTATAACATATCAGAATATTGCAGAAACACAGGAAGCACCTGTAAAATCAGAGAAACAGATGACAATAGAGGCAATGACTGTCAGTGTCAAAAATCAACATGTGAAATGATCAAAGTGATTGAAATTTATTCCGCAATTTACATGCAAGAAATGTGCCCTTTCCAAGATTAGTTATTATTTCATTATGAAATAACAGCAGCTGCTTAAAATTATCGAGAGATGGAAATTCCAAGAAATATTTTGGGATAAGATGTTTTCTGAGATCATTGTAAAATGGACATTCTAAGGTGAAGTGGATCTCAGTTTCTATCACAGGAATTACACATGGAAAAACAAATTGACATTTTCATCTTTAGGGTATAGTAAGGGCACTTATAAAGATTACTTACAAATTGTCCAGAAATTGGTCATAGTGTACTTACAACTAATGGCACTTCATACCACAAATATTGTATTCTTGCCAGTTTCATTCAACAAATGGAAGTATATCATGACACGAGACAGACAGTCACAATCCTTTTTACTTTGACAGAACTGACCTGGAATTTGAACATTTCCGGTTTTGTGTACATTTCATTGACAAGGACAGGCGATAAATCTTGGCAGAAAACAAGACTGTTTTCATGAGGTAGCGAGTCAATGAATTTCCTGAAACACAACAAATAATAATTGACAATTAATTCATTCCTTTCATCTGAATACAAACACATATATCATAATATCGCAAACTTTATTGACAAATTTACATGAAAACTGAAACAAAAGATGCATGAAGTTAATATTATCCATACTTTCTGAACTGGTAGATCATCAAAAGTTCACTTGAGCACAAATGAGTCATTTTGGCAGGTATTGATAAATAGGACTTTTCACCCCTTTATGTTTATCAGATCATTTCCTTGACCATGATGATTAAGCCTTGGTCTGTTCCCCAAGTAGTGATTCCGGCTGAAAATAGGTCCCTTCCCACCTACCCATCTTGATCGAAAGATCAAACAGAGGAGGTGGTCAGGCTTAGTGACAGGGTTGATTAGGCCAGACCAATTATATTTCTTGTTTTACGGATCCGCCGGTCGTATTTTTTCAAGAATAAGAAAAAAAATAAAAAATAATTTCCCCCTCTAAAAAAATAAAATCCTTATGTTTTATTGGCCAAAAATGAAAACTTACAAGAAAACTTCTTGTAGATTGTTTTTTGCCCCATATACACTTCATAAATTCCCAAAAGAAAATACTTTTAGTATTTAGAAGGAATATTACTTTGACTGATGATTTTATTTAATTTTTTTCCCTACTGCCTTTAGGTTTTCTGAGGACAAAAATCTGTAAAACAATAAATAAAATTGGTCTGGCCTTATGTGTTTTTGCAAAACAAACACCATGGTTCATTGCTCACAATATCAATCACAGAATTGTCTGGTCCAGAAGTTGTTATTTACATATGTCTGGAATGATGTTGAGTGCTGCATGGAATAGCAAACCAACATGAAGCTGATCCTCCTCACCTGTGAGATTCCAGTAGCGTGGCATGCGATGAAGGGATGACCGTCACCACCCTGCCATTTGGATACAACATGGCTACCTTTTCCACCAATCAAACTCTGAGGCTTCCTACCTACAACAACACAACAATTAATATAAGCATTTTACTTTGTAATGGCTGAATGTTTACAAGAATATTTTGTATAACAGTTGAAAAATAGATACTCATATAAAACCAACAATAAATTATGTCGTTTTAATCAGTCTCAGTAAAAGGTAAAAATTCATACATGACTGAAGATTTCACATGTGACGTGAGAAACTAACAACTTGATAATGAACAATCATATTTACTACATGACTTGTTTTTACAGGCCTGAAAAGGTAATCTTGATCAAACTTGGAAGTCCTAGAATGATACTGCCTTTTCCGGGACCTTTAAACCATGTATTGACTGCATATCAAGTCATTCATTGTTTCATTACATAAAAAGCAGATTTCCCACATTTAAATGTTAGGGGATTCCAACAAACAGAGACACATGATTAAGGTTGTGGGTAATTCCCATTCTATTTTTAGTAACACAATTCTCTACTCACCATATATGAAGACACTGAAGTTGATATCCAGGCTGCCAACATCAGATATATATGACTTCATGGCCTTCCACTGACTGTCATACAACATCTCCTCTGTTACCATGGGGACATGAAAGTTCCATTTTGGTTGCTATATTAATAAAAATATCCATAACAAGTGTTTGCCATTAATATGGCAATGTCCCCTGCCACTTAGGGACCGTTCATAATTTATGGCTAGGGGGGTGATGATGATTTTAAGGGGGGTCACCCATTTTGTTCTAAGGAGCTAGGGGGCTCATCAATTTCATCATCATCAGCATGAATATATAAAGTTTAATCAATATGCTCCCTTGGTATTCACCTAAGAAGGGGAAAGAATTAGCTGTTACAAAAACAAAAATAGTAATCAATAAAACATATCTCATCATTATATGACTGAAATTTGTAATGTAGTGTTTAACATGCATAGTTTCAAGTAACAAGAAATATTAAGAGTTAATGTTCAATTCATAAGAACAACAGTATGAAATACAAAATCTACCAAAATACTGCACAACGGACTCACTTTAAAACTCACATCGTCCATGACATAGTAAGAAGTGTTCCTGAAGCAGGGACTTTACTCTGTATGTTACAGCTCGAAATGAATTATGGTACAGATTCCTGGGTGTGACTAAACATCTAATTACCCCAGGTGTGTCCGCAGCTGGTGAGGACCTCGGCCGAGTGTAGTGATGGTAGGTATCTGGAGGGTGAAAACAACATTGGTAAAAAAAAAAAAAAATAGGCGAAACTTTTACCACATAAATTGATATTAAAAGCTAGAACAATTTAAAAGAATTTGAGGTGTTCCACTCTCATCAGTAATCAGCCAGAAGGGGAGTACAGGGGACAGAAACTACAGCTTTGTCATGTCTGTTACCTCTGTTGCTGTAACTTGAGTCTGGAGAATAGCTGAGTAGCTTTCTCTGGAAAGAAACATGGAGATCTGTTATTTCTTAGGTGAGTGAGTGAGTTAAGTTTAATGCTGCACTCAGCAATATTCCAGCCATATGGCGGAGGACTATAAATAATCGAGTCTGGACCAGATCATCCAGTGATCAACAACATGAGCATCGATCAGTGCAATTGGGAACCGATGACATGTGTCAACCAAGTAAGCGAGCCTGACCACCCGATCCCGTTAGTCGCCTCTTATGACAAGCATGGGTTACTGAAGATCAATTCTAACCCAGACCTTCACGGGATTTCTTAGGTGATAGACAGATCATTATGCATCATTACATATACCTGATATGGAAATATACTGATATACGGTACATACTTCTGATGTGGAGGTATATCATTACATATACCTGATGTGGAGGTATATCATTACATATACCTTGCAGTTCATTTAATATATATATATGATGTGGAGACCTAAACATATGTAATATGATTACATATACCTGATGTGGAGGTATATCCCTTCTTCTAGGGTTGTTGCGTTCTCTGCCCCCACTTTTCAACACATTTAGAAACTTCCCCGTGTCATGTGACAGTACTGTTTTCATGTTTCCTGGTTGATCATGTCCTTGTGAGTATACTGGAACTTTCTTCTCACTTCTATTTCTAACAAGGCTTGGGTATTGTTTTAAATATGATCCATTTTGAGCTTTTGCGGTACTATTGGGCACAGATTCAGGCCTCTGTTGAATAACTGATTTGAGAATAGATGATCTTTCGACAGGGTGTTCTGGTTGTTGAATGATCCTTGTTGGCATGTTATAAAATTTCTTAGAAACAGCTCTTGGAAACTCTGACGTTTCCTTAGATTCATGTTTTTCCATATGATTTAGAGCAGGTTGGCTCTTCTTGCCAGTGAAGACCATACTAGAAAAGGTTTTCTTCACCTTGTTGGACACAGAATTTCTGCTTTGCAAATAATCCAGACCTTTATGAATCTGCTTTTCTTCATCTGTCAGGTCCTTTCTCTCAGAACTAGTGTCACCATTTTGTCTTCTCCCAGAATCCTCAGGTTCCTTTACTTCTCTGTCCATCGATTGGCTGCTATCCCTCAGCTCCCCCTGGTGGAGGTCTGTGTCACTACTCTCTCTGTCCCACTCTCCTCCCTGCTGAACTAACGGCACTCCAGGACCTCCGTCTTCCCTGTCAAACATTGTTGGCATGTTGACCGAGTGGGATTCATGACCTCCGTCTTCCCTGTCAAACATTGTTGGCATGTTGACCGAGTGGGATTCATGACCTCCGTCTTCCCTGTCAAACATTGTTGGCATGTTGACAGAGTGGGATTCATGACCTCCGTCTTCCCTGTCAAACATTGTTGGCATGTTGTCCGAGTGGTATTCATGACTTCCTCGCCTCAATGTCAAAACTGTCTTTTCATCTTTGGGAAATGACTTTACTTTTCCTGGGTCTGAAGATGTTTTCATAACCTAGAAAATATAATCACTTTAAGGTCTTTCATGGTTATACAATTTGGGGCATAAAATTCAAGCGGTCAAACTATTTTTGATATTTTCCATTTCAAACTTGATACTGAAAGATATTTGATGGTAGTTTTTTTGCTAGGATGTTTTATAGGCAATAAGCACTATTCTATGAACAGCAGTGATAAAATATTGTGTGTTTTTCTTTTGTTTTGCATGACAAAGTCAGACAAAGTTAAACATTGTTGAACATCATTTTATATTTTCAGATTTCAATTCAGAGCTATTTGTTGAAATTGTAAATCACTGGAAAAATAAGTGTCATTTAGAATACTGACATCTTGTATGTAAACAAACTTCAGAAAAGTGTTCATCAAGCAAAAGGATTGTCTCAGGAATGCTGACAATAAAGATGTTTGTTCATAGTTCCTATGAAGGCAATCACAGGTTCCTGGAACAATCCTGATCTGGACTGTCCATAGAGGTCCCTATGAAGGCAATCACAGGTTCCTGAAACAATCCTGATCTGGACTGTCCATAGAGGTCCCTATGAAGGCAATCACAGGTTCCTGGAACAATCCTGATCTGGACTGTCCATAGAGGTCCCTATGAAGGCAATCACAGGTTCCTGGAACAATCCTGATCTGGACTGTCCATAGAGGTCCCTATGAAGGCAATCACAGGTTCCTGGAACAATCCTGATCTGGACTGTCCATAGAGGTCCCTATGAAGGCAATATCAGGTTCCTGGAACAATCCTGATCTGGACTGTCCATAGAGGTCCCTATGAAGAAGGCAATCACAGGTTCCTGGAACAATCCTGATCTGGACTGTCCATAGAGGTCCCTATGAAGATAATCACAGGTTCCTGGAACAATCCTGATCTGGACTGTCCATAGAGGTTCCTATGAAGATAATCACAGGTTCCTGGAACAATCCTGATCTGGACTGTCCATAGAGGTCCCTATGAAGGCAATCACAGGTTCCTGGAACAATCCTGATCTGGACTGTCCATAGAGGTCCCTATGAAGGCAATCACAGGTTCCTGGAACAATCCTGATCTGGACTGTCCATAGAGGTCCCTATGAAGGCAATCACAGGTTCCTGGAACAATCCTGATCTGGACTGTCCATAGAGGTCCCTATGAAGGCAATCACAGGTTCCTGGAACAATCCTGATCTGGACTGTCCATAGAGGTCCCTATGAAGGCAATCACAGGTTCCTGGAACAATCCTGATCTGGACTGTCCATAGAGGTTCCTATGAAGGCAATCACAGGTTCCTGGAACAATCCTGATCTGGGCTGTCCATAGAGGTTCCTATGAAGGCAATCACAGGTTCCTGGAACAATCCTGATCTGGACTGTCCATAGAGGTTCCTATGAAGAAGGCAATCACAGGTTCCTGAACAATCCTGATCTGAAACAATCCTGCTGTCCATAGAGGTTCCTATGAAGGTCCCAATCACAGGTTCCTGGAACAATCCTGATCTGGGCTGTCCATAGAGGTTCCTATGAAGGCAATCACAGGTTCCTGGAACAATCCTGATCTGGACTGTCCATAGAGGTTCCTATGAAGGCAATCACAGGTTCCTGGAACAATCCTGATCTGGACTGTCCATAGAGGTTCCTATGAAGATAATCACAGGTTCCTGAAACAATCCTGATCTGGACTGTCCATAGAGGTTCCTATGAAGGCAATCACAGGTTCCTGGAACAATCCTGATCTGGGCTGTCCATAGAGGTTCCTATAAAGGCAATCACGGGTCCCTGGAACAATCCTGATCTGGACTGTCCATAGAGGTCCCTATGAAGATAATCACAGGTTCCTGGAACAATCCTGATCTGGACTGTCCATAGAGGTTCCTATGAAGATAATCACAGGTTCCTGAAACAATCCTGATCTGGGCTGTCCATAGAGGTCCCTATCAAGATAATCACAGGTTCCTGGAACAATCCTGATCTGGGCTGTCCACAGGTCCCTATAAAGACAGTCACAGGTTTCAAAACAATCCCGACCTTGATTGTCCACAGGGGTTCCTATGAAGACAATCAGGTTCCAAAACAATCCTGTCCTTGACTGTCCACAGAGATTAATATGGAGACAATCACAGGTAAAAATCATGATTATTCTCCAACTAATTCATTTACCTTTTGCTTTTTCCTCTCTGATGGTGTCTTCGCTGTCAACTTTTCCCCGGAGACAACCATGTCCTCTGCCCTTTGACCTTGGTATGGCATATGCAGCAACCGCATGAACAGCATGTCTCGAGCGTCTTCTGTTAAGCCTGGATGACGATGAGAGTAAGTTTCAATGAGGATTGCTCAGTGAAGGTTATTGAATATGATTCACCTCAGAGAACAAGCACATCAAACAACACATATAAAGAAATGAGTGATGACAGCATTATAAAACTTATTTGTAAGCTATGTTTAAACTCAAGAGTTGTCTCCCTTTACTTATTCTTCTTCATGATTCCCTCTTTCTAGTCATTATTAAATATACTATAAAAAATAATATTAAATATTCAATGATCCATGTGTATTTTAAGTATTTATACACAAGACTCAAAATTAATGAAAATATAGTGATAATTTGCATAGTTTACGAGAGTGTGAGTCATAAGGATCTCTGAACATATGTTAATGTCTGTCTACATGTTAAAGCTTCCATTTTAAAGTTTCCAACCTGTCTATGCAATATGTTTGGCCAGTGT